CTCGGGCTTGCGAGCAAGTTGGACAGAGACCTTACGCTCGAGGATTTCCTTGCCAGTCAGGGCTGCAATAGCATCCTGAGCTTCTTGAGCGGTGGCAAGGTCAACAAAGGCATAACCAACAGGGCGATCAGTGCGAGGGTTCACAGGGATTGAGGTGCTCTCGCTGTCATAGTGTTAGTATAACACAAACAACAAACATGACAAGCATCAAGCAAATATGACAGAGCGTGACGATATTCATGATAAAGTCACGGTATAGCCATAATATGGTCATAAAGGCATAGAATATATAAAACTCACACATTGAAGCCCTGGAAGAAGTCCTTGAGTTCCCCCTCGGTGGTCGCATAAGCGAGGTTCCCAATGTACAAACGGCGGCCCTCGTCTGCGCTGACGGCGGACGGGTCAGGGTTGGCAGCAGCCTGGGCGGCACCGTTGGCCTCGTTGATGGAGATGGAGGCCATGTTGTCGGCAAGTTCATTTACGGCAGAAGACATATTGGTTCGCTTGTGAGGAAGTTGACCTGGGCGAGGAATTTGCGGGAATGTCGAAGTTGATAAGCAAAAGCTGCCTCCTTGGGGACTTGAAGAGGGGGGAAATGGAAGGGTCGCTTGGTGCCCTAGATACTAGAAAACGGAGATCCGAGAGATGAGAAGTTGTGCTTGTCCTATCTTGAGTCGGTTGAGATGGAAGAAGAAGAAGAAAAAGAAAAGAAAAAAAGAAAAACAGGTCGAAGGTCGGAAGGGAAAAAAAAGGAGAAGAAAAGCGGAAAGGCTGGGGAGCTCCCACGCTAGCCTGTTTAGGTAATTGACGTTGTTTTGAAGACGTTGTTAATCATTTGATGGAGAGGATGAAGGATTACGATACTATTAAAGAGGACATACTCCTACCCTAAGATAAAGAGGAAGATATCATAGCGGAGAGAAGGTACTCTGTACATATAAGGATGGAAGTGGGATGACACCCACACCAAGACAGCACACAGAGAGTAGACATAACAGACTCCAGCACTAATAGACGATGACTATCTAATAGATAGAGGCATCTGTACAGTCTACAGTGTTACCTGCTAGTGGTGTCTATGTTTAAGTGTCATGGATATACCCAGTCTTGGTAATTGATGCCTGTCACCATATCAATGCCTCAACATTGATATTGATATTGATATCAATACGTTATATTAAATACCAACATTCATGCCAGTGACCTCTGAATGCCAAAACCCCTCCAATAACTACTACATAACTTCTGGATTCCATAGTGTTCTGTCATTAAAAAATTTTTCACCAGCCTCCTCACAATAGGAAGACTGTGATAAAAGACAATCGACAATAGATCAAGACTCTTCAGTGTTACCAGCCGCCTCTTTATTAACCTCACTGGCAGAATAGGAGGCTGGGGCTGAATGTTGAATCTCTTACTCTTCTCTGTTCTCTTCATCCTTTTCATCATCACCATCTCCCTCTCTCTTACACCCTCAGGATACACCTCTTCATCTTGATAACAGCCTCATTAACACCAAGCAAGATCTGACAGCTGGATATAATCACACCGTGATCCCGAATACAATGTCTCGACCCAGTCCAATGCCGGGAGCGGCCCCTTACTATGTCATCGACGACGACGACGACGACGTCCAGATTATAGGGGTTAATAACTTGAATCCCCAGGCTGCCGATGGATTCAGGCTCGGCGAGTATCGTCTTGATGCTACAGCCGTCGACATGACGCCCAGGAGTAAGTCATCTACCCTTGTGTATGTATCGTATGATACTAATTATGTATAGCTTTTTATCAAAACTACAATACTAGCTACTTGGGGCAACCTCTCTATCATGGCTATCTCGGAAACCAACAGATGGCGGCCGCAGCACCACCTGTGGCCCTCGAAGGAATCTCTACCGCCGAGCCCCTTCAGGGTGCCTATCAGCCTTCGTCTCGTCACTGTTCAGCTATCTCAGAGCCTGTCTCTGCCTACTCTTCCTCCTCTGGAGAGACCACTGGGTCTGAATCCGAGCCTGTCCCTAAGGTAGAGACCAGCAAGGCTGCATGGACTGGAATGGCATATGGCAATATCCTTAGTGTCCTAGTTGGTCCTAAGAACTGCGAGTTTCCGGATCAACCTACGCAACTACCACCATCTTTTTTTAGTGATTTGGCAAATACTCTGGTTATAAGTTTCCCGTTCGAACAGTTCGCTTCCAAGGCACGGCTGTACTATTGAGGAGGTCAACCATGCTCTCATTGCACATGTCATTGCACCACTTATCAAGTGCCACTCTGTTGACAAAAAGCAGATGGAGGCAACGGCTACTACAATCTATAACCGCTGGGTTCGTCCGGGGCATCCGTCTAACACTCAATCCATCTCCGCAAAGGCCTCTGCTTCCACCAAACCTGATGTCGAACGACCGGCTCCACCTCCGGTGGCATCTTCGGCTCCGATCCCTCAAGAGCAAGTGGCTATCGAATGTCATAGTCCTGTTCCGCAGGAAAAAGATGCCGCTCCTATTACTGAGCTTACTCATGAGGAAGCTCTAGCCTATGCTCAGGTTCTGCTCGGAGGTATCGCAGAATATGCTTTCGGCACTAATAACGATACCCATGAGGCGCATAACGTTGAAGCCCCACAAAGCGTTGAAGCTATCCATAAACCCCAGGCTCACGAGGCTACCCTGAATATCCAGGCCTTCCAATCCCCTCCAGAGCCTCAAGTTGCTACAGCCCTGGAAATCTCCCCAACTACCAGAATCCTCGAACAAGCCCATACTTCCAGCAGCCGTTTAACCTCCTCTGCTTCTTCTTCTTCTACTACTCCTTCTGCTCCTTCGTATATACAGAAGAAATTCAAACGCCCACACAAGGCTATCGAGGGCGAAGATCAAGGTCAGCAGAGCCAGCTATCTCGCAAACGGCGCGAGGACACCCCACGCCCAACGAAAAAAGCCAAGTTTGGCAATCTTGTCCCTTTTCAAAATACCTGCGCCCGAAAGGAGCTATCAGCCAGCAACCCGGATCTCACGACTGAGAACAGCGAGAAGATCAATAACAAGAAGGAATACCCCTACGCTCCGCTCACAGAGGAGACTCGCATCAGGCGTCACAGAGTCACGGTCGACCCGTTCGGGAACTACGAAAAGGTCTCTAAATATGAAGACGCAGACCCTCAAGTCACGCAACTGTTACTCTCTCAGGGAATCCCCCTTTCCAAGCACCCACGTACAAAACGCGAGCTGACCCATCGAGATGTCGAGAAGATTAACAAGGTCCAGCGGAACTTCTACAAGTACGCCATGAAGCTTCAGTGTGACTATATGGAGCGATTGGGCCTTCCTCGCCCCATTCCCCAGGAGCATATGGTCTACGAAGGGGAAGAAGAGGCTTTCACCCCAGAGGATTTCTACGACTATGATGACGAAGCTGAAGCCGAAGCCGAAGCCGAAGCCGAAGATTGCTAAATTAGCTATGGCTAGTTTGCTTGGTTTGAGAACTATAGAGACAATGGAGATTTTACTCGTGGAAACAAGAAATCGTGAGGGAAAAAAGGGGAAAAAGAGAAAAAAAAAAGAAACTGTCTTGAAAAAATATCTTGTATATGACTTCAACTGTACAATATTCCATGTTTTCTTGTACTTTAACAGAGAAATGAACTCGATGTGCCTTTTATGACTCGTACTTATATAGTATGTATGCATAATCCCCAAGCCAACGTGAACAGGGGTAAAAAGAGCAAGGATTGAGCATTCGGATATTTAAATCCAGGCCTACTGTAATCGCAGCTGCTTTGCATAAATATAAAACAACACAGGCTTTCGATGAACCAAACACTTCCTAAAGGGGTATCTCCAATTCGCTATGATTGTGATGAGTTAGAACATAACAGCCTTGAGCCACAAAACCCATTTCGATCCCATCCAGCAGCAGATCCCAAAAATAAAAAATAAAATAGACGGCAGAGAACATGTCGGGTTTGTAGCCATAACACTGTCAAGAAAGATAAAACAGATCCGTATATAAATTCATTGAGCACAGCGCCTCCCAATTCATAAGTCCCTTCATACCTCAATAAACAACGGAGAAGGAAAAGCGAAGCAAAAACCAGGCACGTTGGGTGAACCAAGGCCAAAACAAGAAAGGGGAATGTTAACGGAGGAACAAAAAAATACCTGTACATACTGAAGAATGGAGAGGAGATGGGGATATTTATCTGTTGTAGGAATAATCGCCCGAGACTTCAGACCGGTGACCGCCATAGGCTCCCCCATAGCTTGTGTCGAAATCACTCATTGAGCTTCCTGCTGGTGGTAGAGGGCTTAACCTGGGGGGCTGACTGCTGATATTTGAGGCGGTGGGATCGTAAGATGGCGGCGGACGATGGCTGCCATGAGGACCCATATCGTCTACTTCACTGTTATGAAGTAATGCGTACTCGTCCTCGTCGTTCTGACGAGATGGCGGTCCACCGTGGAAACGGCCGGTTCGAGACTCGGGGTCTCTGTCGTCATCATCGTCGAAATCGTGTGCTGGATTTGACGAGAAGGCTGCTTGAGCGTGAGCGGCGAAGGTGGGATCTGAGCCGTCGTACGGCATTGTTCCCGTCCGGCGATACTCCATCACACTTCTCATCGAGATGAGTGTCGTCATGATGAAGATAAGGCTATATGTATCGCTCTTTATTAGCTATTAAGTTTCCTTTTATAGATAAAAAAGCAACTCACAAGACGAATACTCCCAAGACAGTCGTTCCGGTGCTCAACCTGCACTTTGTCGGGCTGCCAAAAGCAAAGACATCGCATCCGGACTTATTCTTATTTTTGTCCTTGTCCTTGTCATTATCTTTATGTTCCTTTCCGCCCTGAGCTATCCCCGTCCCCACGTATGTCGCCGTGGCTATCCAGGCCGCAAACCAGAGCAGCGTAAAGAGACCATCGATGAAAGCAAAGGCATACACGTTCCCGAATTTCCTGATGCGCGGCCACATCGGGACAGCAGTCAAATACACGAGCCCCGGGATACTAAGCCAGCACTAAGAAGCAGAAGATGTTAGCAGACTGGTTTACCGTGTTGAGCAGCGAGAACACAGAACAAGACATACCAGGATGAAATAGTATACTATCCTGCCATCTGCCTTTCCAGGCTGCGTGAATACCGCAATTGTCATCGCCCATGCCAGGAAGATTATGAATGCCTGGAAGGCATGTATAATGGTTTTTGTCCGCGAATTAGTGAAATCCGGTAGTCTCATCATCTCTCCCCCTTAAGCCTGTGATTATCCCAAACGGAACAGCAGTAACTTGTCTCTTTTAGTATCTTCTAGTTCTCGCCTGGGAGCAATAGATCTGATACCTTAGGAATGCCCGAAACACGCCGTAAGCATGCGACAACACTTGGTTAAGAATGAACGTATAACTTGACAAACGGCTGAAGAAGCGGAACGAGTGGAAAATAGATAAACTGCAGGTAAGGCAGTCTTATTATCATTATTATATTCCTCCTTGGGGCTGAGCTTGGAGGAAGGGAAGGGAAAAAAACATCCAGCTTTGCTTTCTTCTTCGAAGTTCCAGCTTGGCGCAGTCTCCATAGTGACGGACCCGAGACAAACAGCCACGCTGCCGCCAAAACTCCAGAGTAATCATAATATTCCAAGAAGAAGGGCAGTTACAGGCATGAAGATTTGTCACACCGTCCAGGGGTTTCTACGGGGTTGCCTTCACCGCGGTATAGCTGGGTTCGAAGCAGAGATTCATGAAGGTATTCTGGATGTATACAAATAGCCCAAAGTGGCTGCGCTGCGCCTACATAGGAACAACGAGGTTGACGAAGCTGTGGCTGGCCTTTTTTTTTTTTTTTCTTAACTAAAAATAGGCTGCGAATGTCCACTTGCAAAGAGATCGATATACGACGGGCGAGAATGTAGCATTTGTCTGGGGTTCTCGCAGCTCGAAACTTCTATTGCTGTTTCGCATGAAGGGATGACAGGGAGAAACGTCAACACGCAGAACCTGTGGAATCAGTCGCTGTATTTGGTTCCCATGCGTCTAAGCAATAAGATAGCATCTGCGGATCTTCTTCACATGGTGAAGAGTCACCGTCGATGTACACATCAGGTAGCCCATCCCTACTACCGACTATCACTATTCCATGGCCTGGTGGACGACGATGCCCGGAAACGACAGGATACGACCAGGATACCCATCTCTGGAAACCCATATTCATAAACTGGTGCGCTACCAGAGATAGCTGGTACGGAAGGCATATTTCGTCGTGTATTGTCGCATATATCACCCAGGCTCATCTTTCACCAGCTTTGAACACGTCTGGATGAGTTGAGATCCTCTGCGATCAGACGACTGTACCGGCCGTTGAAATTGATATAAGCCACCGAGTTTGGCGGTACAGTAGCAGTTCTGGGGTGGCTGAGTGCTTCTTCGGCTCTTTCAAGGGGCAAGCAGCATGTGTGCTCTGTCGCTATTCTAGGCATCTCATGGACGGTGTCTTTACTTCGGCTTATCAGGATAAAGATAAAAGACATAGAGATACTGTCGTTGCTTGGTGGGATGAGAGCTTCGTCCGCCTGGTAGAAAGAGCTGAGTATCGCAGTGTTGACCTTTATATATGAAGAGAGGACCTGACTCTTTCGCTCTACTATGTAGGTAAGCTGTATCCCTTGCACTTCATCGATGTCTTCTTGATATACCCAGTTCCTACAATTATTTGCGTCGCTACTGAACTCTACGTTTTTATAGCCGCTCCTTGGATAATAATCTGTATATAAGTATTGTTTATTTACGCTCCTGGAGTTCTTAGCAAAGCCTAAATCAAGTTCGCCTTTTCAACATCAAGTACAAAAGCACTAAGAGCTGTACACTATAAATATATATCAACTATCACTTTATGAAGGAAGAGAAAGCTAGAAAACCCCACTCTTATACATATATACATCAATCCCAGAGATAATATATAGCTATTCCACCATGTCTGCCAAAACATACAATGTGGGGGTTATCGGCTATGGGATGAGCGCAAAGGTTTTTCATATCCCTTTCATCAGCGCACTCCCGGAGTTCAATCTATATGCGATTGTGCAAAGAACCCCGTCAGCTTCAGATGACGCCCAGAAGGACCATCCGGACAGCAAGGTCTACCGAAGTGTCGAGGAATTGGTGAAAGACGCCGCCGTCGATGTGGTGGTCGTCACAACCACTCCGGACAGCCATTTCTCCTTGGCAAAGCAGGCTCTGGAGGCAAGAAAGCATGGTAATGTTCATGTTCTGCCTAGGATAATCCTTTATATCGGACGCAGGGCTAATTTGGGTGCCTAATCGTGATAGTCATTGTCGAGAAGCCTTTTACTCCAACCCAGAAAGAAGCAGATGCGCTGATAGAGCTAGCGAAGACGCAGAATAAGCTACTTACCGTTTATCAAAGTGAGTGGATTGGCTATCCCTATCTGATGATTTACTCTCTGGAGGTCTTGACTTGGATATCTTGCGGAAGACGACTTGTAACGACGCTGATGGGCTTAATAGACCGACGATGGGATGCGGACTTCGTGACTGCTGCAAAGCTCATCAAGGATGGCTCCCTTGGCCGTGTGGTCGAGTTCGAGACTCACTTTGATCGCCATCGCCCGGAATTGACGATCAAGAAAGCATGGAAAGGGAAAGCCATCCCAGGCGGTGGCTCCATCTATGACCTGGGAACTCATCTCATAGATCAGGCAGTCCACCTGTTCGGCCTCCCAAATAAAATCACCGGCTTCATCACCGCCCAGCGTGAAATCAACACAGAAGATTACGAGGACTCCTTCACAGTTCTGCTCCACTACGACAGGCTGTTGGTTACAGCTAAGAGTGCCGTCATAAGCCCTGAAGAGAAGCAGCTACGGTTCTGGATTAGGGGTGAGAAAGGCAGCTTTAAAAAGGTATGTACATTAATTCATAACTACCCTGTCAACATCTCGTTTTCTTAGTTTTCTATATCTGAGTCTAAAAAATAGGCTGACCTTTTCGTCTATTTCTAGTATCATCTCGACCCTCAAGAAGACCAACTACAAGCTGGTATAGAGCTGAAAGATGCACAGTATGGCTGCGAGCCCAGTGATAGGCATGGTAAGTTGTTTTGCTGTCCTACCTTGCCCTTTCATGAAGCTACGTCTGGTGTACATGCACATCAACACCTGTGTCGCATGTAGTGAAACCAGAGAACCACAATAGCAATTCCTAACCTCTCATCTCGCCCCTCGACTATATAGGTATCCTTACAACTTCTGCCGACGGAAAGTTCTCCTCAATGGTCATCCAGCCAGAGCCACCAACGTATAAGGAGTTTTACCGTTTATTCGCAAAAGCACTCTCTGGTCAAGGACAAGTTCCTGTGAATCCAGCTGACTCGAGCACTGTCATCCACTTAGTGGAGCTCGCAAAGGAGAGCTCCAAAAGGGGAATGTCGCTTCCTATCTTGAAAAGTTAGATAGATTCGCCGGTGCCAGATACTGCACAGTAGGTGACATTTCAACGCTTACAATTATTCAAGGATGAGTGACCAGAAATAAAGTCTTGGTGGTACAAGGCTTTTCTAGGAGCTTGGTTCCCGTGACTTGACCTTTTAAGTAAGATATTACATTTTTTCTATCCTAAATGACATTAAGTGTGGTTCTAGCTGGCAGGGGGTGTAGAGTGTGGTCAAAGGATAAGTAATAATCCCCCTTATAGGGCAGCAAATAGTACTACCTTTGTGACTTCTATACCCTGATATGGTCACCTACTCACTCTTGACTGCTTGTAAACCTTTCTGCTATTGAAACTATAGAAGATAGATATCAGTATTAGGGACATTAAAGAAAACGCCTTGATATGCCACCTCTATCTCGCTTCTTCCCCATGATACTGTTAACTCACAACAGATAATCCAAGATGAATGGGTTTGGATGGGTACATCTATCCTTGTGACCCGTAATCTTGAACCATATCATATGAAGCTGGCTCCTCTGCTAATTTCTCCAGACATCTCTCGACCCTCCATACCTACCCTATCCTCTCCGGCCACCCTATCATGACGCGGTGGGATGCGGTTTATTAGCGTATAACAACGCTACCGGACAGTGTAAGGATCCCGCGTGTTGCGCTCGCCTGTTTCCAGAGGTGATAGTCATTCCAACCAAGTGAGGATAAGGATGGCACGTCTGTACTTGTTGGTGTGTAGAAGCTCACTGATATAACTACTGGATTCAGGAAGGGTCTTCATAAAATCTATGAATATTCGGGTATATCCCTCCTTGCCTTCATTCCCTGTGTGGATCTTGTAAGGTTAATATATTGGTATCGGGGGGCCGGTTTATAGACCCACTTGAAAGGAACAATCTGGCGCGGTACAACTGAAGCTCTCAACTAGACCTTGGGTACCATATGCTGGCAACCTATGTGCAAATGGATATTTTGCCGTGTCTGGTATCGACAAGTCTGCTGCTAACTTAAGTTGTCATCTGCTACTGTTAAACAACAATCTCGAGGTCAAGAGGTGTGGTTAACTTGTCATCATTCTGTCGATGTAAAGGAGAAGTTCCTTCTGCCGGGGAGTCAAGTGAGTACTGTGACTCCAAGCTTTTGTCTCAGGAAAATAGAAAGTAGAAAAATAGGGGAGCTGACGTTCTAACTTGGCTAGGGGCGGTCACTGGCGCCCGTATTTCCAAGACCCCACGGGGGAGTTGTTAGCAAAAGGTCAAAATAATATCCATGGCAAGTCTCGGGCAGTAGGAGGGCTGGACCTATCGATGGCATGCATACATAGGACACAAGGGGTGACACCCAGGGATGGAGATATTGGCATCGCCCTGGCCAGCTCCGGCTTATCGATGAAAATTGCCGGAGGATTATGGGACGAATGTTATAGTTCACCCCCAGACTCGAACGATATAATAATCAATCACTGGTCCAGGCTTTATAGGAAACCGTTACGTCCATCTGGTTGGAGCAAAGACTGGGGGGTATATAAACTTGGTGAAAAGCCGCGTGTGGTATGGATAAACCAGTCAAGAAACGACGTCCAGAGAACGGGCAGTTGTCTGTGGAGTGCAAGGGACGGCTAGTCAACGAGGTGACCCTGGAAGGTTGGTTATCGGGGGTCAAATAACGAGTCTATTGGCGTGGTCTGGGGCGGAACCGTCCATGGGGTGTGAAAAGATAGAAGGCCGACATACATCACACCACCGCATGATATTGCGAAAAGCATTCGTGAGAGAACTGCCTATAGCGTTCGCCTTGCTGGTGGGCTTGATGAGATTTGTCTGATTCTCCCTCTTCATCCCCAGACGAAGCTGTTTCAAGGAATAATAATAATCCTGGGCTCAACAGTCAGAAAAACCCTTCAGCCATCTTTGTTCGGTTAACTAACTTACTGGAATTAGAATGTTCAGTGTCTCAAACTCTCTCTAAAGCAACTATCTAGCTAACTATCGAGCCATGATCAAGAGTTAAGCTCTCGAATTTGGAGTTCTGAAAACAATATCAACTGTTTAGATGCATACCATGTTCAGCTCTTCGGTATCTTCGAGCCTGCATGGAGTTAACGAGTTCAACAGACGAAAAAAAAAAGCAAATATTAAATGTGATGTGATCTGTGGATTCCCAACTCGGGCTTTCAGTACCAACAACATCTATATACATTGGATACATCTTTGCCTATCTCTATGCATCATGAGTGCAGCCAACCACATGGACAACCTCTACCGGTCTAGAAGCAGACAGTTTCGACTCTTCGCGTCTATTTCCAATGGGATAGAATAAATACCCTTTCAGCCATGAGAAAGGGGGAAAACTCTACCATCTCCTCCTGCTTGGTGCAGATTGAAACTTCAACTGCATCTCGTTACGTATGTATGTACTCCATGAGCAGGAGAAGTAGCTGGAACCACATAGCGACATGTCGACCCCTATCGTTTTTTTTTTCCTGGTGTGTGGACAAGCCCAACACCGGGCACACCGGGCACACCGGGAATTATAACAGCATCCTTTCTTTTTTTTTTTTTTTGCTCTCCTCTTCCCTCTCCTGATATGGCTAGAATAGCATGGTCCTTGGCCATTCTCGCAGCGGGCGGCCACCTGTGTTCCCCTTGTCCTACGGTTCTGTTGGTGGCTGCTATTTTTTCTTCTTCCTCTCACACGAGCGTGTGTCCCTCCAGAACTACTCCGTACTTCTTTGACCCTGCGGAAGCACCTTGGCCGTGGTTTGAAAGATGCAACTTTCCTCTCGCCCTTCTAGCTGTTATATCGCCGTCCCCTTTTTGCACCGAGTGAGTAAGCGTCTAGGTGCAGATCAAGGTCTTGCCAAACAAAGAACGGAATCCTTCGCCTCTCTCTCTTGGTTTTAGTTCCCTATCTTTCTCTATTCGCAGTCTTTCTTCTATCCAACTCCATGTACTCGGAATAAGATGGAGGTTACGGTGTCACGGGCCCCCCTTTAGTGAGGAGGAGAGAAGGAAAAAAAAGAAAACATTGTCCTTCTCAAAGCAAAAAAAAAGAAGTAAAAAGGGCTAAAGAAAGAAAAGAAAAGAAGCAAAAAGGCCAGGCGAGAGGAAGTGAGAGAGCATATTTCAACCAGGACAAGAGAAGAGAGATTGGGCGAAGGGGAGGGTTCCCGGTTAAAGAGATTCTTAAAAGGTTCTTGCATCTCTTGCCGTTCAATTATTCGTTTGCCCTTTTTATATGCTGTCAAACACGCCCCCGGAACACGTTTCTCATGCACCCATCTCACGGACTTTTGTCTTCAGCCTCGACCTTATATACACCTGATAATATCCTTCCCTCCCTCCCTCTACCGTCTGTCATGAAGTGGGAGTAATCTCATATACAATATCACAACTCGGTTTCCAGTTCATGGCTGAGGCAGTATGGGATTGCCGGTCTCTACACAGGGCCTGCCGTCCAGCTTCCATAGTGCTCGCAGCCAGCGGGACTTTGCCTTTGAGCGGACGTTTAGTCATGGCAGCAAGTCGGCCATGATTCTGGGTACCACCGGTGCCTTCTCGGGCCTTTCATTTCTCGTTGTCTTACTGCGATGCTATGCACAATTCTATCTGCGAAGGCGCTGCAGACCAGATGACGGTCTCATAGTTGTGGCGACTGTATGTGGACATTTCTATCGGTGCTCTTCCTGGGCGGCTGTGCCGTTGTTGTCCTTGACCGGGATGGCTGATTTGCGAATTATATTTTGCTAGATATTCTCCCTTGTGTGTATAGCATTTTTAATAGACGAGTCGCGGCATGGCCTGGGTGAATATACGGATGATATGTCGATTCCTGATATCGAGAGGCTGGCCTTGGTATCATATATCCACTGGATATTCCTGATAGTAGCGAAGTCGATGGTGAAACTGGCAATCGGATTCCAGTTCCTTCGCATTGCACAGCCAAAAGGGTGTTCGCTCCTTGTCAAGGGCCTGATGGGTAAGATTTTTCTCCCCTTCAATCCCTTATACTTACCTCTTTATATCGCCTACTGAAAGCACAAAAAGCTCTTATAACAGTTACGACAATATCACGGCTTGGACCATTTGTGTTTCGATGCCGGCCCATAAAAGTGTACTGGACATATTCAATGTCTGATGAAACTTGTATTGGAAGCAAGGCAATGTCGATTATCAGTGTGGTCATGTGTGGTTCGCTATCGTCCCTCGCTTTCGACTTGTGTTGCCTTGTATAGCTGACGTTGTTGACCTGGACAGGACAGGATGTGATGACCGACCTAATTCTCACGAATCTACCGCTTTATTATTTCCCTCCGAGGCGACTTGTGCGGCGTGCAGGCGTTGTCCTCTCAGGCATTGTGGGATTAGGGTATCTGTATGATGTCGCAGCGGTAAGAATAAAGGAGAAGAGCATAAGCTGACATTGATGTTCTAGGGGGTGCTGTGTGGCTATAGTTAAGATGACCCATTCCATACTTAGCGTATACCTAGACAGCGGTTATAGGTATGTTTCGACATCTTGACGTTTGATTTCCGGATATCATGATGTCTCTAACACCGTTTACCTAGGGGAGATATATTTTTCCTTCTAAGCACGTATGTTTGCCTTCGCATTCATGCAAATATCAGTACTAATGGACAATTCCAGGCTAGAGCTTCACATCGCCATGATAGCATGCTCCATACCCACCCTACGCCCCTTGTTCGGGAGCTACAGCGACGCAATCCTAGTCAGTCGATATGGACACGCTGGCCCAAACCTCGACTACGACACCTCTTCCACCAGTCCAGGCGACGGCTCAAGAATACGAATGATTTCGGTATCCAAATATGCATCGAACCGGCTGACATTCGACGACGACCGGCTCAGTCATATCGATAGCCACGATGGCAAGTGCAGGGGGCCACCGGCAAGGGTGGGCAGCAGTGGGCCGGCATTACCATCGGCATCAACCTGTGAATATAAGGTTGAAGTTAGCGCCTCCAGGGTATCGTCTCCAGGCTCTTATCATCTGCCTCCTTTCTTGAAGGACTCTCAGAGCAATGGCTCTCTGCGAAACGGCGGCGAGACACAGCGCGATGGACTGCCTGGGATCATGTGTACGACGGACGTGTACGTTCGGATGGATAGCCCATCAGAGAAAAGGAGCGTACAGGATGTCTGACCCGGGTATCTTGTTGCGTGAGGAGGTTGTATACATACTAGAACTAATGATTATAACGTTCTGTTCTTCCAAAACATTGTGTGATCACCGACTTTGATCGCTGCCATAATCATCCAGTAATGTCTGATACATCTATAAGATATATGCATGCCCTGTACTATGTAAGCTCAGGGATGGATACGTTATAGTTCGATATCGATATTCCGCAACCATATAGAGTTGGGAATCCTTCAGGAAAGAAGCCAGGATGCGTTGTTCTGTTTCACGAAAAAAAACTAAACTAACTATAAAAGCCATTATGATCCTGAAGCGCTAACTCTTTTCTCATGATTATCGTCACCCCTAGAACCCCAGCCTCTGGCATGCTGAGTTTAAGGATGCCTTTATCGATGGCATGGAAAGGATCTGTAGTGTGGCATGGTTGTCGATAGGGATCAGCTTAGGCGTGGTTAAACGCAGGGATACAACCGTCGTCGTCATCAGCCTGTCGAGAACTCCGTATGTATGGTTCAAGGGTTGTCTCTTCTCCTGGTTCTTCTGATGATAATTAGTGATGAGCAGAGGAAGAGGAAAAAGGAAGAAGCAGATCTCAAGGAGTTTCTACGGGAGGCTCCATCCAACTTGCCGCGGTATCGTATTTACCATCCCGTACCCTGCAAAGCTTCTGATACTAAGCTTTTCTGCATAGCGGGTACCTCTACACCCACCAAATTTTACTGGTAGGCGAGGTACCTCTGATGGGTGGGTACATCCGCCGTAATGGCAATACCAAGCTTCCGGGCTTACCGAAGCCTCCGCGGAGAAATCGTGAACATAGAAAGGGAAGAAAATTGAAGATACAAGCAAGGGATGTGAGGAAGACACATAAACGGGTCTTCTTCATCTCGATCTTATATACCCACCCCCAAGCTCTGGTCTCTATATATTCGCCCATATCCTCCTTGTCTGATTTCCGTACAGAGACTGGCATCTCTCTCGCTAAGAGAACAGGATTATTTGACTTCACCATCAGTTGGGCATCTCATAACCTTCCGCCCCCTTCAGCCGGCTCGTTGATTCCAAATACTGGATAGAGATATCTTGGGATCCTTTCTTCGATGAGTTATCAGCTCTGTCGTCTCTGTCTTCTTTCCCATTGTTGATTGATATTGATCATAATCTTTTCATGGGCGGGTCTCTTTCGGATTTATTGTTGTTTCTATACCTATTCCAGGCCAATGAACCTCAACGACCTCAGGAAGATAGAGGTCGATATCGACATCTTCCTCAACCGGTTCATCCCACATCCTCGATGGCATCGCTATCCATACCCTTTGGCCCACTTCCTCGGCCATAGACGTGAACCAGTGCCTAAATTGGGGACCCTCGTGGTTATATTTTGGACCTTCGTTGGCGTGTTCTGCGGCCTCTTGACCATCACCGCGGCCTCTACACATATCCCTTCTTTCCAGGACCATGAAGTGCCTCTCTCAATTGGCAGTTTTGTAAGTTCTACGCCGGTGCTCTCATCACTTGTATTCTTCTCATTTTTTTTTTCTTCTCAAAACTGACAGAAGTTCGCTTCTTTGATGATTTAGGGGGCTGCAGCGGTGCTTGCATATTGCGCTATAGAATCCCCCCTTGCACAGCCTAGAAATGCCATTGTGGGACATTTCCTGGCAGCCGTCGTCGGAGTTGGGATCACGAAGCTGTTTGGTCTTCATCCTCGCCATGAAGAGCTCTACTGGATAGCTGGGCCGCTGTGCTGTGCTGCTGCTACCCTGGTGATGGCTCTCACGAAAACCGTCCATCCTCCAGCAGGCGCCACGGCTTTACTCTCAGCCGTAGATCCCAGAACCAGGCATCTCGGCTGGTTTCTCCTCCCCGTCGTCCTTCTCTCCTGCACCCTGATCCTCGCCACGGCCCTGTTGTTCAATAACATCGAACGGCGCTTCCCAACGCACTGGTGGACACCTGCAGACCTCCTTCTACCCAAAAAGGCAGACCTGGAGTCTTCAACTTCTGAAGACACTGTTGGAGATCACCGGACGCATGCTGCCGCTAACGAAAGTGTGAAGCAACCGGAGAGCCATATCACCATCAGACCTGGACAGCTTGAGATATCAGGAGCCATCACGCTCACAGCAGATGAACACAACTTCCTCGAACGACTGAGTAGACGTATAATAGACATAGATGAGAAAACTCCACTGGACGATGATAAACTAGATAATATTAGATAGACCTAGATTTTTCTTCCTTTTCTTACTCTATACTTTTTTTTATACATCTCAGCTCTGATGTCATATTCACGTGATTTTCAACCAATGAGGTTATCAGGAATTATTTACATAAGCTTCACCATCTTAGATTTTTCACCCGCGACTTTTTTTCCACATGAAATTCATCTTTCTATCAACAACTAAGTTCATCCTCCGGCACAAGTCATCTCGGGAGAGCTTGTTCTTCAGCTATATACAGTGGGATAAAACTGTCCGGATACCCCAGAAGCATTTCCTTTGATCTGCTATTTTTTGTTATTGTTATAGAGTACCGTCCATCCCACTCTTAGGGCCTTGCTATCGATAAGGCATAAAACCCCCACCTTCGGTTTGTTCTTCTTCTCCCCTTGGATTTGATATTGGTGTATTTTTTCTCCTTTTATCTGTCCAGGCCCAAGTGTAGCCACCGGATCATTGCTGATATATGATGTATAATAAAAGCGCAGTTATTTCGAAAAAGGAAAATCATTAGCAAAGATGGTGTCTGCATCCAAGGCTGCCCGCCAGGCCAAACGTGCCGCTGAGGGAGACAAGAAGAAGACGGCAACCTCCAGGCTGTCGTCAAAGGCCAACTCCAAAAACGTTTCTACCGCTTCTTCTGTCAATGGTGACGATGAAATCGAGGAACAAGGCGGCACCAGCGCCGCCAAGATGTCCGACGTCAAGAAGTTAACAGAACAGACAGACAAGTTTGGTCTTTCAGATCGAGTCACTACTGGCGTTTTGGCGTCCGTCCCATCCAGCAGAGATGTTAAGATGTCATCTATTTCCCTAGTGTTTCACGGACGAGTCCTCATTACCGACTCGACCCTTGAACTCACTTATGGCAAGCGATACGGCCTCCTCGGAGAGAACGGCTGCGGTAAATCTACTCTTTTAAAGGCCATTGCTGCCAGAGAATTCCCAATTCCAGAGCACATCGACATCTATCTACTCAACGAGGGTGCTCCCCCAAGTGACCTTGGAGCCTTGGATTGGGTCGTTACGGAAGCACAGAACGAACTTGAGCGGCTAGAGAAACAGGCTGAAGAAATCCTCGAAACACAAGGACCAGAATCACCAGTTTTAGAAGATATTTACGAGGTAAGTAGCCAACTTTAGTTTTTACTACCAAGTTTTGATAGGAAAACATGGGCTGACCCTGCTGGACAGCGCATGGACGGCATGGATCCATCCACATTCCACACCCGAGCTTCTCTTATCCTTACTGGTCTTGGCTTTAATAAGGTTACCATTAAGAAGAAAACCAAGGACATGTCTGGTGGTTGGAGAATGCGTGTTGCTTTGGCCAAAGCTTTGTTCGTCAAGCCATCGTTACTTCTTCTTGATGACCCTACTGCGCATCTTGACCTTGAGGCCTGTGTGTGGCTGGAAGAGTACATGAAGAAGTGGGATCGAACCCTCATTCTTGTCTCCCACAGTATGGACTTTTTGAACGGCGTCTGCACAACTATGATTGATATGCGAATGAAGCAGCTCTTGTACTATGGTGGAAATTACGATTCTTATTCGAAAACGCGAGCCGAACAGGAGACCAACCAGATGAAGGCATACCACAAGCAACAGGAAGAGATTGCCCACATCAAGAAATTCATTGCCTCGGCCGGTACATATGCCAATTTGGTCCGACAAGCTAAATCCCGACAAAAGATTCTCGACAAGATGGAAGCCGACGGATTCATCCAACCCGTCATCCCCGACAAGATCTTTACCTTTAGATTTGCGGATGTCGAGAAGCTACCCCCACCAGTCCTCTCCTTTGATGATGTCACGTTCTCTTATTCCGGCGATGAGAAGGACAACTTGTACGAGAACCTTGACTTTGGTGTGGACATGGACTCTCGAACTGCCCTTGTTGGTCCAAACGGTGTTGGTAAATCTACTCTCCTTCGTATTATGACCGGGAAGCTATCCCCTACATCTGGTGTTGTTACGCGCCATACCCATTTGAAGCTCGGAATGTACAGCCAGCACTCTGCTGAGCAGCTTGACCTGACGAAGAGCGCTCTTGACTTCGTGCGTGATAAGTATGCAGAGAAGAGTCAGGATTACCAGTACTGGCGTCAGCAGCTGGGTCGATATGGTCTTTCTGGTGAATCTCAAACTGCGCTCATGGGAACTCTATCTGAGGGCCAGAAGAGCAGAATCGTCTTTGCCATCTTAGCCATTGAAAGTCCTAATATGCTGTTGCTCGATGAGCCTACCAACGGACTGGATATCCCAACTATTGACAGTTTGGCTGAAGCCATCAATGCATTCAGCGGTGGTGTTGTTGTTGTTTCCCACGATTTCAGGTACATATTTCACCTTCATATAAACCGTTCATCGTGTTCCAACCAGAGTACTAACAAGCTCTCACCTAGACTTCTCGACAAGATCGCCAAAGATATCATGGTCTGTGAGAACAAGACCGTCCGCCGATGGGATGGCACTATCGGCGAGTACAAGAACCACCTCCGAAAGAAGATGATCAACGCCGGTCAAGTTTAATAGCAAACCTGAAGGCTCACTCTTTTTGCATGATTCTCCTTTTCCATTTTACTTTTTGCCCGGAACAGTAATCAATCCGCCATGGCCTTCGCTTAAAATATTGACTTGTTTCTCTCTTTCATGGTCTCGGCGGCATGAATGGTTTCTCTTCCTTTTGAACCCCTTGATCCTTTTTATCTTCATGGAAATGGACCTGTTCCCCCTGGCTAGCGCAACCAAATTCGCGCGCGCGCGGGGGGGCTGGAGCTGCTTAGATTAAACTGATGTTACTTTCTGTTTTTTTTTTTTTTTTTTTTCGAATTTTGCTTAAAAAAAAGGGAGGCTCCCCTATGATTCGCCTTCGTCACACGATAAGTTAATAGAAAGGGTTGTTTGAAGTTAAAATGAAAAATTACTCACTATTCTTCATCTTTACAATCATTGCTCCAAGTTTATCCAAATTTAGACAATTGAATAGTTGACTCCGCATATTGTGGTTTGATAGTAACCGCCAAGTAAATTTGAGATGCCAAAGACTCCAACCCAATGCTATGCTACTTTGTTTTAATAATACGATTCATTAGCTACCCCTTCTTTAATTCCCCCCCAAACGGAGAATCTCTCTCTCCTTCGAACTTTTCAAGTTCTAATTTGCGCTTCTTAGCGGCCCGGTCGATATCATTTTCCACACCTTGCTCGTCACCACCACCGCCACTAGCATTGGCAGTAGCAGGAGCGGCAACGGGCTCTGAAGGCGTATTAGCTCCCGTTTGTGCAGCTGAGCCACCTTGTTTCTGTAACCTATTCAACGCCACTAGGTCTTCTCTCTCCGGGTTCTGGCAGTGGAAAAGCTTTCTGCCTATTTGTTTCAGCCTTTTCATACGCGGCGAGCCAGGGGCAGTGCTAGATGAGCCGTTGTTTTGAATATAAGAGGTAAGTAGGTCGCAGCAGGACTGCAACACAGGGGTCAATTTAGTACGTATGTTGGATAACATGGCTGATGGTTGGCTAGATGAAGATGACGACGATGACGGAGCGGCCGGTCCCAGTTTTGTTTCTAGGTAGAATTCGGCAAGGGGCCTGTCGGCAATGAGTAATGCAGAAATCCATATCTGGGAAGGGGTGTAGAGGAAGTAGGCATCTGTCATTTGTACGGAATGCTTGAGTATCTCCCGGGTATTATGGTGTACTTTTGCTAACCGGGTGGATAGTGGCGAGGCCGGCACTGGTCCCGCTATCGAAGTAGGCGGTGGGGGAAGTGATTGAATTGCTTTCTGGAGTCCGGCGACTGTAAGTCCTGGAAGATGCGGACCTGGTGTAGCTTCTCCGTTTGCAATGGCATTTAACTCCATCATCCCGCCCTCTAGTCCACGAAATGGGTGTCGCACGTCAAACGTAAACCGCAAGCCCTGTGTGAGTAAGAACTCGGGAGCAATTATGCTTTCCATGGTTGAGTTGGGTATATGTTCTGTAAAGGAACGTAGAGACATGTAGAAGTTATCTGTCTTGGTAGCTAGGAATAGTGCGCATGGCATGATTGATTTAGGATGGTAGGTCATTGGGGAGTTTGTGAGATAGAACCGTCGAAGGTATTGAATCGCGGTCGCCTTTTACACAGGTCTCCTCCATTAGCATGGGCATAGATAGCTTCGGAAATATATATCATGGCGATGACATACTCTCACCGTCGTTGGTAGAGGTGGCTTATATTCGTCTCCCAGCTCCATAGTTTTCTCACAAAAGTATTGTACCAGCTCAAATTCCTCATCTGGGGTGAGGCATTCTATCTCCTGCTCGCTTCCAGCTCCTGTCCTGGCCGGAGTAACCGCTCTCTCGTTATCGCTTGGATTGGGATTTGGCGTGCCTTGGTCTGGCGTGAGAGCTGCCTGTTGTCGAGCTTCTCTGGCCCTGCGGACGGCGGCACGAACACGCTCACTCGCGACGGCGTTTGTATTAGCCCTGATTGACCGAAGAGAGTCTTCCGTGAAAGACCAGAGTCGGTATTGCGTCGAGGTCCGATATATGTCGTCTTCCAACATGTTGAAACGGCTCTTTAGCTGCAAGACCAGCTTTATCCGAAGTTATCAGAACGGCGTTTTAACGGAAGATCAAAGGATAGAGAGGCAATATTAATTTAAAGCAGTATTTGAATGCTATCGTGGCATGGAGCTGTGTTTTGAGATCTCGGTGAAGTATAACTGTGGATGGAGTTTTTTGCTTTTGGAGGTTGAATTAAAGAGAGCTTAGGTATACACTTTATGCATGGAAGCTAAACATATCAAGCTCTTTACATGCGACGACGTATTACGTGGAGCCAACATTGTAAGAAGAGTAGAAGTAGTATAGTTGGAATGTGATTTGGGATTGAAGCACCTATTTAGATCCCGCAGAAAAGCCCCTTGCTCCGCGCTATAACGCCAGTTCCATCGCCAGACACCATATATGCTGTCTCATCGCTTCCTCCTCCCCGTTCGCTATCTTCTCTCTTCCCCGTGGAACAGGTCCAATTACTCCATTCGCAAATAGTGAGAAAAAAAGAAATCAAAGAGGGGACTAGGAAAGTGTTGTGGCAGGTAATAAATGAAGGAAACAAGAAATATAACAGAAAGGGCGAAAAAAAAAAAGAGAGTATGCTGGAGGTTTAAGTGTATGTAGGTAGGGATGCTAGATGATATAATGTAGTGAGTTAAAGTGAAAGGAGATGTAAAGAAAATATCTGTCCAAAATGGATAATTAACGACGGTCATGGCTCGCCGAGGAGACGGGCAGTGATGTCACCCATGTATGCCTCCTCAAGCTCGTAGTCATCGCCGTCCATGGGATCGATGCCAACGTACTTGAAAGCAGAGACGACACGAGGAACGTCGAAGCCCATGCTGCAGAAACGGTCGATGAGATTTTTGTTGTAACCCTCGTAGCTGTTCCCCTGTTAGTTGCTGTGTACATACATGTATTTGGTGGAAGGTCAGAAACCCACGCTGCGAGCTTCTCTCTCTGCTCGTCCTCCTTGGCCTTGAGAGCCTTTCTTCGAATGGACTCATCGGTGGCGCCACCGCTGCCTTCACCGGTGTGTCTGCGTGGGGCTCCAGCATGCATGACTGCCCATTCCCTAGCAACTCGTTCAAACTCCTTTGGATCCGAGAGAAGCATCCGGGCAACTTCTGCGTCCTGTGGGTCTCGAGGCTCGGGCGTGCTGAGGAGAGACTGGAGGGAGAGAAGAGCTGACTTGATGGTCAAAACAGGCGACCAGGCAGACGAGAGCGTATCGAGACAGATGGCACCCTAGATATCTTCCGTTAGCGAGTCCTTCTTAGTTTCTATAGGAAAGTAGTCATGGGGGGCCACCGTACGGTCTGACTGCTGATATTTGGGTGCCAGACTCTGGTGTCGAACTTCATGACTGGCGGACGGAAGGGATACTCGGTTGGGATTGTGATATCGATCTTGAAGGTCCCTCCCTCGTAGGCGGTGCCGGGAGGCCCTGGAAAGGTGCCCTTTAGGCGTGTGAGGTCATCTTCCGAGACCGGGTCTACCGAGATTTGCGAGTGACGGTCGGCATGGATATCGGCGATTTCCTTGGTGATCCGGCGGGTGCGGTTGGAAGCCATGATCGGATACGATATCAGACTCGACGCGCTGCTGTCTCAGGATCCCTCCTTATGTACTTATACTATGTTGTTGGCGCTTAGGATGGGCGTAGGAAGCGGGGAGGGGGAAGTTGACAAGTTAGCCTAGCGAAAGAGTCAGACGCCGGTACGACAAGGCAGCGAGGGAGGAAGAGAGAGAGAAGAAAGGTCTCGGAGCTGGAAGAAGTGAGGGCCTGAGTACCTTTATATCCGGGCCCCTGGGGCGATGCGGCGGGCTTGAGAGAACCAAGGGGTGTGTGAGTGTGAGTCAAGTGTTGACGAGACGGCTGCCGAGTAAGTGGTTAGTTATACAAGGCAGAGAAGGCCTCGACTTCTTATTAGGCGGCTGATATGTGTCTGCCTGGTAAACAATGTACGGAGAGTAAGGCTCAAGGCGCAGATGTGTGTGTTTTCTCCCGACTATTCTGCATTAGGGGATGTAACAAGCTCTTAAAACGACGCTGATGCTGATGATAACTGATGCTAGTCTTAACTAACCAGGTGCTTATTTACGTATTAATAACTAATCGCCCGGGGAAGCCCTTTTTTTTTGTAATAACGTTCGAACGAGCATCGCCTTGGGTAGCAACCGGGATGCTTCGGTTTATTATATCACAGCTATAAGCCTATCCAGGCTCTATTCTAGCAGCTATTACTACCGCTCTGTCTTACGGTCCAACACCCATTTCGTTTGCATCTCGAACTCGTCTCTTTCATCTCCTTCCAAGCTAGCAAGCCCTGCTTCACGGAGCTGAGAAAAGTATTCGACCGCAGCGTCGAAATCGTCATTGGCTGTCCAGCCATCTGCGTTCACTTTGTCCTTCAGCATCTCCCAGAAATCCTGTGCATTGTTAAAGGCCTCTGCCTCCTCGCGGTGCTGTGTAAGCTCGTCCGGCGAAAAGTGGTACGGACAGTCGCCTGTCTTTGACATCTTAGACCAGTCCCTGGAATATACGTTCTATCGTTAGTAGGGAATCAAACCCTCGACCCTATAGCCAGCCTGGATAGATACCTTTCGATATTAATCAACGTATCCCTGATAGGGACAATGTGGTCGTCCCATGAGTCCCCGGCAAAACATACGAGTTCACCCAGCGTTTTCCCGTAGGGCTGTCGTACTGCTCGGTTAAGTAGCGGGTTGACATTTGCCGTCTGATCTTCGTAGAGATAGACTTGAATGGATTGTTTAACCAGCTCGGAGACCTCTTCTTTCTCCTCCTTGGACAGTGTTTTGTAGTTATCGGGAATTCTCAACTGGATCTCTCCGTTGTAATCAATTAGCCTAGGTGTGCGGGCTTGGAGAAGCAGAGGGCCGGCCCAGACTGATTGCCAATCGATTATACTGGTAATTCTTCCATCTTGGACGAAGATATTGGCATCATGGATGTCTGGATGCCAGAGCTCCGGACGAACAAGCTCGGCGTCATCGGGAAGAAACCTAGCAGCTACAGCTAGGTACTTTTCTAGCAGTTTGATATGCGCCTGAGGTGATTTCTGGCTGCCTTTGCCTCTAGGATAGCCGGAGATTTTTGAATTTGGTTTCGCATATCGGGAGATCCACGCCATTTCGCGATGCGCAATAGCTTCGATATATTCACGGGCGGATTTCCCTAGATCACAAATCAGATAACTAGTAATAATCTGTTGGGAACACACCCTAGCAGCTAGCCGAGGCCCTGATACACTTACAAGGCCCACGATCCAGAGACATCTCGGCTCGCTCCTTTTGCCAAAACTCTCTCTGTGCGGAAGGTCCGATGATGAAGCGGATGTTAACATCATCTTTGATTTCTTGTGCTATATCACCACTGATTTCTGCCGTCTGACAGCCAGGAAATGTATCTTTGGCAAAATATAATGAGCCGTACCTAAAAAGACGCGGTTAAGTACTTTTCCCCGGCTCAGAGAAGAGACCTTACATACAGGTTAAAGGTCACGGAGAGAAGTTTCTGCTCTATGGAAATAATGTCATTGATTATAACTCTTCTGCTGGGTAGGTCTAGGTCGTTCCAAAGCTCGGAGAGTTGCGTCCCCTTAGCCTCCTCCATAATGATATATTCCGAGCCAACGGGGCTATCGGGAGATGCAGACCATGCTAAGACCTTAGGAACCGGTACATGAAGCGTAGACCTAACCTATATATATAGATATACGTATAAATATACATATAAGAGTCAATGAGTGCTTTCTATCGTCTCTTTGAATAGACATCACCCACGAATTCCATAGTCGCAACCTCTGACATGGTCATATATCGTGGGGGGCCAGCGTTTGGATGAGGAATTCGAGCGATTGCTACAGCTCCGTCATCCATCAGAAGCCGGAACACTTTATTGAAGTTTCCTTCCCCAATCTTAGACATAGAAACGCATCGTCGTGAGCCCAGCGTGCGTGCCACGGTGGCTTGAAGTTCCAGAATGTCAAATTTTTGGTATCGTTCAAGCAACTGCTCCTCTTCTCCCCAGAGCCATCGCCCTGTGGTATAGCGGAAGAAGTCTTCTGTGTTATTTTCCTTGGAAGCCGCGAAACTGAGACGCCTGAGGAAGAGTTGAGGCGCTGTCAAAGCCCTTATCCTCCTGATTGACGGGCGCAGCAGGGTGGGCAGGATATCCATCAGGAGTCTATGTCCAGCTCTCCCGGGCGTAAACTGTTACTACATAGCATGTACTGGATTTTGGCTACTAACTTCGATGACATAAGCATATGCTTATTAACACATCACATGACAAATATCCATGACTAAGCAGAGCTCGAGCTGGAGGCGAAGACGCAAGAAGAGCTTTGGAAGGTTGAGCGACGTCGACATCTTCATCAGAAACTGCAGACAACCAGACAACACCTCACAGCAGAAGTAACTGCCAGCACGGTGCGACTGCTGTCTTTGACCGGTTACTCTTGCCCAAATTAAAAATCAACTTGCCCACTGCACTACGCTGTTCGTACGTTGGTAAGGCGGCTAACTTGTCGCGATGGTATGTTTGTTTGCCTGATCACTGTCCGTCTTCAGCACCACTAAGTCACACATTCGACAGGGAAATCAGCCATCTAGCATGGGTGGCCAAGGGGGTGAGGGTAAAGATGACAAGGACAAGAAGGTATTTCTCCATTTTTATATAGAACTTCTCTGCTGGGACGTTTGCTCATCAGGCTTTACAGAAGGAGAAGCCAAAGTACGAACCACCACCACAGCCAACTACCCGTATCGGACGAAAGAAGCGTAAGCAGCAGGGGCCAAATGCCTCTGCTAAACTACCGCCTATCTACCCTACATCGAGATGCAAGTTAAAATACCTCCGTATGCAGCGCGTGCATGATCATCTTTTGCTCGAAGAGGAATACGTGGAGAACCAAGAACGTATCCGCAAATCCAAGGCTCAGGCGACCTCAGCGCCGGCCGCAACTGATGACAACACCAATGCTTTGGACAGGAATGCGGACGAGAGGGGCAGGGTGGATGATATGAGAGGCAGTCCTATGGGAGTAGGGAACCTGGAGGAGATGATCGATGACGACCACGCAATCGTTTCCAGCGCTACAGGGCCCGAGTATTACGTATCTATCATGTCTTTTGTTGATAAGGACCTGCTAGAGCCCGGTGCTAGCATTCTACTTCATCACAAGTCGGTCTCCGTTGTGGGTGTCCTGACCGATGACGCCGACCCGCTGGTATCGGTTATGAAGCTCGAGAAGGCCCCTACAGAGTCCTATGCAGACATAGGTGGCCTAGAATCACAGATCCAGGAAGTGAGAGAAGCCGTCGAACTTCCCTTGCTACACCCCGAGCTGTACGAAGAGATGGGTATCAAGCCACCGAAGGGTGTCATCCTGTACGGCGGACCAGGCACCGGAAAGACTCTTCTCGCCAAAGCTGTCGCCAACCAAACAAGCGCTACCTTCTTGCGTATTGTCGGCAGTGAGCTTATTCAGAAATATCTTGGTGACGGACCCCGTCTCGTCCGCCAGATCTTCCAAGTTGCCGCCGAGCATGCTCCGTCTATTGTCTTTATTGACGAGATCGACGCTATTGGTACAAAACGTTATGACTCTACTTCTGGCGGTGAGAGGGAGATTCAGCGTACCATGCTGGAACTCCTCAATCAGCTCGATGGTTTCGACGATAGAGGCGATGTTAAGGTGATCATGGCTACGAATAAGATCGAATCTCTGGACCCCGCTCTCATCCGCCCTGGCCGTATTGACAGAAAGATTCTCTTTGAGAACCCTGACCGTAAGTGATAGTCTCAAACCCTCTCACGAAAAACCCACACCACTGACATGCGTCTAGAAAATACCAAGAAGAAGATCTTTACCCTCCATACCTCCAAAATGTCTCTAAGTGAAGATGTGGAACTCGACGAATTCATCACCCAGAAGGATGATCTCTCGGGTGCTGATATCAAAGCCATATGTTCCGAGGCCGGTCTTATGGCCCTTCGTGAGCGCCGTATGCGCGTGCAAATGGCTGATTTCAGAGCGGCTAGGGAGCGTGTCATGAAGACCAAACAAGAGAACGAGCCAGAGGGACTGTACTTGTAGTTCTGCCTTGACTACGTGTGCCGTCATTATCTAGCTGTATAATATCTATTCAAGCAAGCCCCATTTGCAAACTCATGCCCTGATATTAGACATTCCACAATTTATAGAAAGCACAAACCCTATATCTTGCTGAAGTATAAAGTATATACAGTAAAACTGCCTCGTTCAACTTATTCTGTCGGGTAATTATTATGAGGCTAAGGATCGCCGAGCAGCACTTGTTGTTCAATCTTTCTCTGGCTGCCACTTGATCATTCGCTTGACAAAACTTATGAACTTGCCCTTTCCCTCCGTAATAGTGACGAGGGTATCCTCAAAGGTGAGCCCTTGCCGGAACTGGTCCTGATATGTTTCCCTAAGTTTTAAACAGTAACATCACATGTTTCTAGTGGAGGAAGTTGCAAAATTTATGGACACCTCAATCTAGATTCGATTTCTCTTCTAGCTTGACAAAGGGGTTTCGATATAAGTTCATATGCAAGGTAAACACCGTAAGTCTCGGTGATGGGATAAGGCACTCTGTACATAGTAGGTAGCAGCTTCAAGGTTCGGCGGTAACAAGTGGATCCTGGCGCTTATAACGCCAAGATGCGTCTAACGAGCTTTAACCTTATTAATTTCACTATCACGTGACTATATGAGCAAAAGATGCAAACACTAACTCAGCGACTTTCCTTTGTATTTTTGGGAGAAGAAAGACAAGCCAGCTTCATATTTCCTTTCGCTGCGGGAATACCAAAGTAAAATCATGGAAGGGTTCGATGAGGAAGAGTTTAAGAAATTCTTCCCTAGTGGCTTTGGGAAGCAGACGAAAGAAGCAGATATCAAGACCCAGATTGACCGAACGAAGCGAAAGGCGGCAGTCGAGACATCCAATGCGCGAGCAATAGAGAAAGCCTCCGGCCCGTCACAGGAATCAACTAATGATAAAGATGACGCTGGCTCTGATGCGGATTCTGATTCTGATTCTGATGGATCGGATGATGAATTCCCAGTTTCACATAACCTTGTCTTCAAAACACATGAGAGAGCTGTGACTACAATAACACTCGATACAGCCGGAGCGCGAATGATAACGGGTTCAACAGATTGTACTGTTAAATTCCATGATTTTGCGTCGCTAACGCCATCGACACTGCGCGCATTTAAATCCGTGGAACCAAACGCAAGGAAGAATGCAACGTCCTCGTCAGAAATACACCCGGTCCACATTGCGAAGTTCAACCCTATCTCTCCCAGTCAAATCCTCGTGGTATCGGCCACGCCGCAAGCAAAGGTCCTTAGCCGCGATGGTGATACTCTGGCCGAATTTGTTAAGGGAGACATGTATCTTCGAGACATGAAAAATACAAAGGGCCATATCTCCGAGGTCACGAGTGGAACCTGGAGTCCGTCGGATTATAACCTGTGTGTCACGGCTGGGACGGATAGCACGCTACGTATCTGGGATGTCAATGACCCGAGAAGCCAGAAAGAGGTCATTGTACACAGGTCAAGAGCAGCGGGGTCTGCTGGTAGGAGCAGGATGACTGCTGTTGCCTGGGCATCGCCTGCGCAGGGCGGGCCGAATGCACTGATAGCAAGCGCTCTTGACGGGAGCCTTGTTATGTGGGGAGGTGATGGGCCCTTCAACAGGCCTAGCGCTGAGATTAAAGATGCACATACAAAGGATACCTGGACCAGCGGGTTAGATATCAGTCCGGATGGGCGACTGGTAGTTACCAAGGGAGGCGACGACATGATCAAACTGTGGGATACAAGAAAGTTCAAACAACCTATAACGACGGTCTCGCATGTATCCGGATCGAAATTCTACCCTACATCAAACATACAGTTCTCTCCGAGCGGGAGCTAACATCGTCACGGGGTTCTGAGGACCGGACATCTGCATATATTGAATCCTGCTACCCTCAAACCCCGAAAATGGTCACTCTGGTCACACCGGATTCTCCTCTTATTTCTGTATATTGGCACGAAAAGCTCAATCAGATCATCACCGGCTCTGCCAATGCAGAAACGCATCTGCTATATAACCCATCTCTCTCGCATAACGGAGCACTTATGATAATGTCCAAAGCACCGAAACGGCGCCATGTTGATGACGACCCGAACTTTACCACAGATATCTCTCTCGGTTTCTCGGGCGAGGGTATCGTCAACGGCAGCGGAATCGCAGCAGCCACCAGTTTTGCTGCCAGACATCCTACCGTCGGACTCACGGCTTCTGGCCGGTCAAGAGACCCACGTCGCCCTCACGTACCTGCTCAGACGCCTTTTGCTAAGAGCCAGCCCGATGAGAAGCATATCAAGGACAACATACCTCTCAGTTCGATGAGAGATGAGGATCCCCGTGAGGCGCTGCTCAAGTACGCGGAAGCAGCTGAAAAGGAGCCGATATTCACGCATGCGTGGAAACACACTCAGCCAAAAACCATTTATGCCGAGCTGAGCGATGACGACGAAGAGGAGGAGAGCAAGAGGCCAGGCCCTGATAAGAAGAGGATAAAACGGAATTATTAGCTGTTATTGACATTTCATTAACCATTCCCGGCTTGAATACTGGAGTTTGCAACGGTCATGGTAGGACATATTTGTAGCGTATAAGTATTATTCTTTATCTTGGGACACATAAAAAGGGTGCATTCAGCTGGAAGGATTTTGAAATTAACTATTGAAATATTTTATACCCCTGTTATATTCCTAATTTTCAGTCAATGTTTTCTCCAGGATGTGCTTCTATAGACACTGTTCATCTTCTACATGTAAATATATATTGAACAACCATACAAGCTGCATCAACGCAACCACCAACATAACCATCGCCTCCAAGACTCTCTTGAGAATCTCCTTACGCATCTTTCTGCAAGTTTCAACTCCACTGGATTGCCTTAGCTGCATATATAATCTTTAGCTGGGCTTCCTGCGCCCTTTCTGGTTGGCTGGCGCGCAACTCAACTCCCAAAATCCCAGCCATCACACCCGAGGTCATCTTCCATCCTAACTCCTTCATGGTCTCGTCCGTCTAGAGTGCGTCGCAACGAAGGCGCAGCATCTCGAGTCTTCCGGCATGACGAGCAGGTGTATCAGTCGCCTTTGAGAAAAACTGGCTTGTTTTTATGTCTCGCCCTAGCCAAACTATTTACTATCGGCAGAAGCTAGTCTAATAATTTGGATCTTGACCTGGGAGCGCCCCGAGAGCGCATGGAAGGCTTGATAGCGGCCTCATATATTCTATTCTATATGCGGTAGACCTTTACAGTGCTGTCCAAAGAAGCCCACAGGAGGCGTTGGCTAGTTACCACGACTGGCCTCCAAATCCAAGTCCGTCACCAGAAACCCCCCGGAACGCCTGGATATTTTATCTAGTGACGAAAGAGCTGCAAGAACTATCGAACCGAACGGAATTCTCCTCTGCGACAATGCTTGTCGCAGTCCTCCTCTCCCTTGCTGTCGAGCAGGTCTCCTCCACAGCTCTACCGTTGTCGTTACACCGGCGCTCCTTCGATGCTGTGAACGGTATCATACTCGCCAGCGGAAAGCCTGATAATAGCGGTGGGCACGGGAAAGACCCTATCAGCGAGTGGTCTTCGACCATCGGAATAGTCACTGCGATTGTAGGGAACGTCCTGATTTCACTTGCTCTGAATATCCAGCGATATGCCCATGTTCGTATTGAACGAGAATATGAAGGGAACATACTGCGTCTGAGGGCAGAGTGGAAACGGTCATCACCCAGGCTAGAGGGTCGCTCGAGTAGCCATAATTATGGGACGGTGGATGGAGAAAATACCCATGGCCAGGAAGACATCAATACATCTCGGTATACTGATGACCCAGAGGAAGAACAACGATCACGCAAGGCTCACACTAATGGAAATGGATATACCAATGCTCAAAGTCAGAACAACCAATCTGTAGATGATGAGGAAGCGGATGATCCACTACAAGACTCGTTTCTCTCCGACCGGACGGCCACATCGTTTGAGAAGAGCATTGCAGGTGTTGACAGGAAGTCATATCTTCGCTCGTCATACTGGTGGGCTGGGATCATACTGATGACTGTGGGAGAGGCTGGGAATTTCCTGGCCTACGGGTTTGCTCCAGCTTCTATCGTTTCGCCCTTAGGCGTCGTCGCACTTGTGTCGAACTGTGTTATTGCGCCGTTTATGCTCAAGGAGAGATTCCGCCAGCGGGATTTCATGGGAGTTGTGATTGCTGTTACTGGGGCAGTTATTGTCGTTTTAAGTGCAAAAACGTCTGAAAACAAAATCGGCCCAGATGAGATATGGGATATGATCACTCGTTGGGAATTTGAGACATATCTGGGGATTACGGTAATTTTGATCATTGCCTTGATGTCGATAAGCAGAAAATACGGGAGGAAGACCATTCTGATTGATATCGGCCTTGTTGGCTTATTTGGTAAGAGATTCTGTACCTTCTATTTAGTCACATACTTACGAACATTGTATAGGCGGGTATACAGCTTTGTCGACCAAGGGCGTATCCTCTCTGCTCTCAAATACCCTTTGGCATGCAATTACATTCCCCATAACCTATGTCCTTGTGGCTGTACTGGTATTGAGTGCAGTGATGCAAATTCGATATATCAACCGCGCACTTCAACATTTTAACTCGACGCAGGTTATCCCAACTCAGTTCGTGCTTTTCACTTTGTCGGTCATTATGGGAAGTGCCATATTATACCGTGACTTCGAATCTGCAACTGGAGAACGGGTTGCAAAGTTCGTTGGTGGTTGTGTCTTGACCTTCTTTGCAGTCTATCTCATCACCAGCGGAAGGGCCCAGAAGGAAGACGATTCGGAATCAGAGCCGGAAAGTGATGAGGAGGAAGCCATCGGTCTTCAAAACGATGAACCCTACAGGGATTATGTTGACTGGCAAGGAGATGGTGCGCCAATGCCTAATAACCAGAACACTGATACCACTGGTAGGTTTACACACACAAAGCCGTCTCCGTCACGCTCACTCCAGAGCCTCGAGGAGGTTTATAACGAATCTGAAGAAGATGATGGTGGACAGCTGACTCCGCGTGCCCGGATGTCTACGTCCCCTGGCTCATTACTGCCTCCTATTTCAAGCGCCTCTTCTATCTTAGATCCATCTCCGCTACCTGCCTCTAATAATCCCTGGGCGACACCTACCCATGAGAGAGAGGAGCCAGACTACAGCATCACGACAGCCGACAAGGATACCACAGCCCATAATACAGACGTATACCCACCCCCAACAAATGTAGTCTTGCAGTTCCCTGCTGCTCCTGGTGCTACGGATTCGCCGCCTCGATTTTCACCTCCTCAAAATGGCCCACAGACACCGCAAGGAAGCCCCCGTCGCCGCTCGCCAACCAGAGCAGAGTACGGCAGCAACAAGCTATCTGGACAGCCTCTACGTACTTCTGGCCCAGCACATCGAAATTCCCTCTCTCGATTTTCCCCTGGCCCTCTCCTACCTCCGCTATCAGGCGGGTTAAGTGCTGTTGTTGCAGACTCACTACGACGGGGAGAAGGGTCCCCCCAACAACACCGAAAGAGCATGCGTGGAAGCGCCAGACAAAAGTCTAAAACCAGAGTACGGCCTGGTATCCCCCTTTACCTTGACCCTACGCTAGATCCTCGCCCAGTGGTCGAAGTTGAAAATGAGACGATTGGCATCCTCGCTCGTCCGAGAGATAGCCCCAAAATATCACGATCAACTTCCACGACAGGCCCCGAGGCTCTACCGGGCGAACAGCAGCGGATCAGAAGCCTAAGTGATTCATGGAGTGGCGGCCTTTTGAACTTTGGAGGGACCTTACGGCTTCCTGGCCGTCGATCAAAGGGCAAGCTTCCTGAGAATCCTTCCGATGAGCCTTCCAACCGTCCAGCCCACCCATAAAGCAACTAACTGCCATTGAATTGTCCTTGCTTATACATGTTATGGGTCAATTGGCTACCTTACCGTCATATCCACCTCTCCTCCAACATTACCTTCTCCGCGTGTCTTTCCTTTCCTTACTCTGGGACCATGCCTTGCGTTCCGTATCTTTAGTACATTTAATACCCGTTATAGAGCCTTTAACAGGATATGTATTTATTAACCATTTAGCGTTCCGTATTGTGGCTGTGGTTCTTTGTCGTTTCCCTTTATATTATTATTCTTCTTCGTTTTACCCTCTTTGCCTATATTTACATTTGAGCGTCTATCAAAATCAGCCCTGTGCAGAAACATTGCAACATATGAAGTCCCGGGAAAGCCAGCAAAAGCGATGACTGGTAGATGGGGATGTATATATTCTTAGCTTTTGGCATGAACGATACAATTCATTAATTCATAACTTGTCTGGATCTTCCTCCTCTCTTTCTTTGGCATCCTTGTTTGGCCTGCCGGGCGTTTTACTCGCTCCGCCTCCATTGCTCGCGCCTTCACGCCTAACCCGGGCCCCTTCCTTTAACTTCTCCCATCGCTCTCTATATCTCTCTACCACGGCTCTAAGCTTCTCGTTCTCACGACTGACCTTTTCCAACTCTCGTTCGTTGTTTTTAATCATCTCTTGCAACTCTCTGATCCGCAGGTCTGCTCCAGCATTGGGTACTGATGGAATAGCTTCACCGGCAGCGGAGGCTGCGGGAGACGTCTGGCGAGATGGTAATATAGCATGCTGGTTATGCATGGCGCGAATCGACTGCTGTAGAGCCAGCGATGAAGACTGTGCATTCACTTCCCACATATGTAGACGCTTCGCCAGCGTGTCCGAAAGGTGTCTCAGTGCCTCGTTCTCCATATGAAGTTCCTCAACTGACTTGTAGGGTCTCGAAGGGTCACCTTTGTTCTTGCGTGAATGTAAGGATGTGCTGCGATCTAGCCTAGTCGTGCTCTTATGCAAGGTCTCTTCGGGAGAGGGAGGGTTTTCACTAGCATCAACAAAATCATCTTCAACAGACTCCATGCTATCCTTTACTGCCTCCTTTTCTTCTCGAGAAAGTATTCCGGCGTAGGATATCATCCCTCCAGCTGTGGGCACCACGTAGAATGACTCGGCAGGGTTGTGAGATGCAAAATGACCGTCTTTGTCCTTGATGGCCCTTAACGCAGCACTGGAAACCAGTTTGGACACGTCTGGGTCCTTGTCTGAAAAACTGGTGAAATCTGCCACGGCAGAGTGTGTGTTGGTCTTGGTGTCTGCAGCCGGGGCCTTTTGTCCCGCGAGAAGACGAGGCTGAGAGGAGTCAACGCCTAACGGGAGGCTTGTAAAGGCAAGGGGCGCAGACAGTTTTGAGATGACGCCTTCAAAAGTAGAATAAAAGCGTCGAAAGGGCTCATCTCCGGTGATAGACCTGATGCCGGCTATGGCAGTATCTTTGATCTGGGGCGAGACGTACTCCTGGGAAGTGACCCGAGTCGGGCTGATCGGGGGAACCCAGGAGTGTTTCCCTCCCTGCCGTCGTTGCTGAGAGGCTTGAGAGTCAACTGTTGACAGATGGTCTACCTGTTTGCCGTCTCTCTGCTGCCTCGCTCGGACGGGGGAGCCGGCCATCCTCGCCCGTGCATTCTGAGCCGAGACCGTAGGCGAAACCGGATTGGAATGCTGTCTCTGGGAGGGTATCCCCCTTGCAGAGGCAAGATTCCCGGCAATCGACGAATTACGAGACCCAGAGCTGGTCTGTGATAGCAGCCGTGGAGGATGCTGGTGCAGCAGCAACTGTTGCTGCGGCCCGGCAGAGGCCAAACCAGGTCCTTTGTGCGTAGCAGGGTTAGCTGTTGGGTTAGGGGCCAATGTCTCTACGCCGTCCGACAGCTTCCGCTCTGTGTCCGTTGCTGGGGGATTTTCATGCTGAAAGCGTATGATGGCAGCAAGCTGCTTATGGTGGTCTTCTAGCAGTCGAAGTGTCCTCGCAGCCTGTTTAGAGACGATGTCAGACTACGACCTTTTTCTTTTTCTGTCTTGTATATCGATGGATGGCCTCTTACACTTGGGTCCGCGGTGGACTGTCGAGCGGTTGCAAACTCGCCTGCTGCAAGATCATGCTCTTCGCTCGCCGCGACAGGGTTCGACTTGCGAGTCTCATGTAATGCATTCCGAGCATGAGTATGAGCCTGGATAAGATACTGTCAGTGATGAGACCTTTGAGTGTACACACAGAGAGAGAGCAGAGCCTTACGAGCAGGAGAGGAGACGACTCCATGGCGAAAAAGCTGTCTGTATCTGCTACCTTAGAAGCCAAAGAGCATCGAGCAGGTCATATCCCTGTAGTTACTCTTGTGTATGTCTCCAAGGCGGTTGTATGATGCCTGTAACTGCGTGTATCCTGTCGATAATAACAGAAATATTTCCATCTGGACGGCAGAAGAAGAAGAAAAAGAAGGCGATGATGTCAAGAAGAGGGCAAAAAGGCTGTCGATGTTTTGGTACTTCTTCTCCCTCCTATTTTTGCGGAGAGAAGAAGTACCTCGACATAGCTCCCTTTCCATCATCGAAACTCCGCCGTTTTGTGTCTCGCCCTACTTTTTTCTTCTTCTCTACAAGTAACGAACCAGAACAACCAAGAAGCACAACCCAGGAACCGCAGCAGGAAGAAAGGAAAAAAGGAAAGGCTGGAAGAGTCGATGGCGAAGGAGACACTCTGCTCTAGTTTCATCTTTCCATCCCTCTTTGCTCGGTTGATATGAAGCTGGGCTTCACCATATCGACTATCAAACACGAAACTCCCCCCCCCCAGCTCGCCCGCCGGTCAGCCTTGTTTCCGATCAGGCTACAGATATACGCCTGTCATACGGAGATTTATATATATATATAATACGTATATCACAACGAGAGGGAGTGCATGGGAGTGGTACCGTCTGATATCTACTAGCGAATGCTGCCGTTGTCGCCCATGGAGAACCATGGAGAACCCGCAGCCGCCTCTCCGAACGGCCTGAGGAAGGTCTTCACGATGCAGAATCGCAGCCGGACAGCGCTGGGGAAAACTGACGCTTCAGAGACCGACCAGCGGAACAGAAGTTCGACCATTGAATCGAGGACGGAGGACTCGAGACCCGCGAGCAGTGCTACTTCGGCAGACGCTCCAAGTGGGATTTCAAAGCTGATACCGGGAGCCAGGCGACGGCATCGAAAGAAGGTCGAGACTACAATCCCCCTGAATAAGGATGCCGAGCAGGTCGAAGGATACGACTGGCAGGCTGGGGAGTCAAAGGTCTCCTTGCCATCAGTCGAGGTCAATGGTCAACGCCGGCGGTCCATGACAAATCCTGAGAGCAACCATGTCTCAGATGGTTCGGAGTCAGATATGTATGTCCTTTTCTTTTTTTTTCGAACCTACCCTTAATGCTCTATCTTGATGCTAACTGTATAGTCTCTCTAGCGTGGGCAAGCGTAGCTCCCGTGGGGATCCGACAGCATCTACACCCGACCTCGGCGTCTATAGAGATGAAAGCGATGGCAATGCCGATAGAGTCCGCTCAAATACCGCCTCGGAAGTCAGTTTAGACAGTTTCAAGGGGGCCTCGAGGCATACCGCGGCGTTAGGAGTCTCAACAAGCAGACCTTCGACTGGCTCCTCGGCGGGCCGGAGGCTGAAGGAAGCGTTCACTCACCGAATGACGAACAAGAGCACCGATACGAGCCCTGATAGAGGCTCCAGCAAGCTCTCTCGGAACAACAATACCAATGATTCCGCTGGATCCGTGGACGGCGGTCTCTCCAAGGAGGCACCGACTCCCCTACGGACTATGCCTCCATTGCCTCCGCCGGCTTCGCAGGCTCAATCTCCGCTTGATGCTGGTCGTCAAAAAGCCGGACAATCGTCTCAGTTAAATGAGCCCCCAAAAACCCCTCCGCCTTCAAAAGGCCAGCCCGAAATAGTGACCACGCTCACACCTCCTACTCCCACTAATGATCAATTTCATCCCCAGCCCTCTATCCTGACCAATATTGTCAATTCCCCGGAATCTACTCAAAATGGCACTCCCCAATCGCCCTCTAATATTGTCGTTAGCCCCTCCGGTAATATGATATCCCACCGACGAGTACGGTCAGCATCGGCTGCTCACCAGCCAAGCAAACTATCTAATTCTACAGTTCCTCCCCTAACGCCTGCTATAGAAGAGAATAGAACCACGGGGAAACCTTCAACATCTCAATTTGGAGCCGGATTCTTCTCGTCCATGGTGTCGGCGGCACAGAATGCTGCTACCACTCTAAGCAGCAGCCTTAACCCACAGGCTAAGGGCAAAAACACTCAGGAACAAACGGATGGAAACACACGGGATGACAGTAACAAGGAAAATTCGGAGGCTATTCCCGAGGGTGACCAAAATGCAGCCCCAGAGGATAGGAAGAAGGAGTTGGCAGTGAACACCCTTGGCATGGGTGATCTAGACTTTAGTCACCTTGGACTTGAGCCCATTGACAAGACTGCTGGTGATGGTGATGGCAACAATCTAGACCTGACTGGACGCCAGCGGGCGAAAACAGTCTCACAGCGCGATGAACTTTCGGCCCGGATGGAAGATGTCCGGGCTGCTCGAGCTGTATCAATGGCATATGGAAATACACCGGCAACCCCTATCGTCACCGTGGATGGCATACAACCTGAACCGCAGCCTCAGAATGCCCTCGGCTCCCTTATAAGGGACAACACGGGGGAAAGTACGCCACCCGGAGGCAGTGTTCACAGCGAGACGGCAGAGAGTTTTAAACAGAACGGTAGCCTTCGAAGTCATCGTGCTCGCAGAACCCGCGGATCATCCGCCGCTACTACGAATACAACAACAGGCGGTGCAATTGGCACTAACCTTACAGCGAGGAACACAAGCGTCCCTCGTCTCACCGGGTTTGCTGTTGCCAGTAAGAAAAGAAACCGTGATTTTCATCAATTATTCCGCAGTGTCCCGGAGGATGACTACCTTATTGAGGATTACAGCTGTGCGTTGCAGAGAGAGATTATTCTTGCAGGCCGACTATATATCTCCGAAGGTCATATCTGCTTTTCCAGCAATATATTAGGCTGGGTAACAACGCTCGTGATCGGCTTTGATGAGGTCATTGCTATAGAAAAGGAATCAACAGCTATGGTTTTCCCAAATGCCATCGCAATCCAATCTTTGCATGCACGCCATACTTTCCGTAGTTTGCTCAGTCGAGATGCAACCTACGACCTGATAATCAACATTTGGAAAATTAACCATCCAACTCTCAAAAGTTCAATCAATGGAACGCATATTGACCAGGGCACTGGTGATAAAACTGAAAAGGCAGATGAAGCTTTCGATGATAGTGCCTCAAACTCGGAAGAAGATGACGAAGTGTACGATGAAGATGAAGATGGTGCTGCAATCATCAATGGGAGCGAGAATAACAGCGTCGCTGCAAGTGAACCCCCAGACCAGTCGCAGCGCCTTCTTCGAAAGTCTTCTACGGTCCCACTATCTGCCATGGGTGCTCCCCAAACTCCTAGTCCTGATGAAGAAGTAAAGTCAGGTGAAAATGGGGCAAGTTCTGGCCAGGAATTCCCAGGCCCCAAAGCTCATGTGCCAACAGAGTACAATGACCCGTCTGGACGTTTTGAAAAGCTAATTAAAGATGAAGTTATCCCTGCACCGCTAGGGCAGGTGTACTCGCTAATATTTGGTGCCCCTTCTGGTGCCTTCATGTCTAAGTTTTTGGTTGATTATCAAAAAGTCACGGACTTACAGCTTGAAGATGACAAAAAGGGTCTCACCAATGAGAGCAAAACTCGGTCATATAATTATATTAAGCCATTGAATGGAGCAATTGGCCCCAAGCAAACACGGTGTATTAGTACGGAACAGCTCGACTTCTTCGATCTTGACAAGGCCGTTCTTGTCACCCTCACAACCCAGACACCAGATGTACCGAGTGGAAATGTCTTTTCTGTGAAAACCAAGTATCTCCTTACATGGGCTCCATCGAATGCCACAAGACTCGTCATGTCATGCCTTGTAGAATGGACGGGAAAGAGTTGGATCAAAGGTGAGTGCTGAATTCTTCTCTTTTTCTTATATTGTGGCCCTTTTATTAACATAGTGCTCAGGCCCAATTGAAAAGGGTGCCAACGATGGTCAACAAAGCTTCGGTAACGATCTAATCAAAGCAGTCCGAGCCGCGGTTGCGGCTCGTGGGCTTGGAATAAAAGGTGGACCGAAGGGTAAAGGCAGACGCATCCGCATGGCAGCCGAAATGGCAGTGGCTGCGAAAGAGCAAGCTGCACTCGAAGCCACAAAAGCCCAGGCCTCAAACAATGGACTCCTATCCACCATATATGGCCCTTTTGCTCCGATCGTGGACGTTATAAAACCATTCTGGAGCAGCAATATGACTATTGGTGTTCTCCTGATTCTTCTTGTCACCATGTGGTTCCGTACTTCCGCCCCTGCCCATCAAACTTCTAGAATCGGGCTCTCTTCACGCTCTGCCCCAGAACGGCTACTCGCATTAGAGGAGCTATGGCAAAGAGAAGAAAACGAGCTATGGGATTGGCTAGAGGAGAGAGTAGGACTAGAAGGCCTCTCATTCCCTGTTGTCGACGTACATTCCCGAGCGGACAGACGGTGGTCTAGTCGTGGTCGTGCCGAAAGGGAGTTTGAAAACCGGCTACATCGAGAGAGAATGTCAGAGCGCGAAGCTGAAGATGCTATTCGTGTTACGCAACAACGTCTTGAGACCTTGCAGAAAATCGTCGAGAAGCGAAAACAAAATCGCCAGGCTTCTCTAAAGGACGATGCAGAACCTCCTTCATCATAACGAGCAGGAATATACATTCGTTCTCCACCTCTCACTTGCCATTTTGCTATAACTTCGTTCATCGAGCGAATTACCATGACTTTCCTTGTCATTTCTGTTTCATACCAACAGTTTCTGTTTGATATTCTCTCCTTTTTTTCTTTTCTTTTTCTGCATTGTATATCACACCGTCGCCTTGTCGCAGGCTTTTCCTTTTTTCCCCTTTTTATTCCTTTTTTTCTTTTTGTTATTCCTGCATACTTGCATGTTCATTTATATATTGTTGGGCGCATCTCCCGGTCCAAAAATAGCGAATCTCTTTGCTCCGTTTTCCTTTGTTTAACTAAGATTTGGAGTTGGACTGTGGTGGTGCTGTCATTTTATTGTCTATCTGTGTACAGGAGGAATTCAAGCATCTCAATATAACACTTACCAATTTATTCTTTCTGCGACATGCGTATGACTACAACACCTTTATAGTCATCGACCCTAGGTCTACATACTGTCGCCTTAGGGCATATATTAAACAACTGTAGATTTGATTTGGCACGAAATCCTTCTCATTGTATTTGCAACTCTACCAACATAAAAACTGGTGAATCCAATATATAAAAAATATGTTAATAAAAAGTTAGGTATCGTAATATAAAAAGGATAATCTAAAGCTTCTTTTCAAGCCCCGTGTGAATATCGACCATCAACGCACTCAACTCCTTGGAAAAGTCACCCTCACCCTCGATTTCTAGAGCCTTTGAAATCCACCTCTGAGCTTCGGCCCACCTCCCCATTTCTACCAGACACTTACCACCACGCCACCAAGCTTTGCCATTCCCTTGTTCATTACATTCTATGCTAAGCTGAGCATCAACCCATGCCTCAGCCCATAGTTGCTGTTGCATATAGGCCTGTGCTCTGTTTGCATAGAGTGCAGACAGCTCTTCACGCACTAGTCCTACAGGTTCCCAGGACGGTCGTGCAAGCGCCATATCAATAGCAAGAGTATATAGCTTAGCAGCCTCCCCAAAGCTGGCCTTCCGATAGGCGGTGTTGGCTGTATCGCGGAGTTTTCCTATCTGTGCGCTCCGTTTAGGATTTACGGGCCGAGGTGGAGGAGGAATATTTGGAGGTTCCAGGTTGAGGAGAGCACGGTGTGTTTGGTTTATGGCTTCGAGTTCTGCTTCAAGTTCTGCTGACGATGATGTGGGGTCGGAGAGCGCTTTGGAAGTTGGGTCAAGGTGTATCGGGTACTGGACGAAGGTCTCTGCATCTGAAGCCATGGTGCTGTACGGCTAGGTATCCCGTATCAAAGACGGCGCACAGTCTATTAGATGAAAGGCCGGATTTGATGGCACGGTTTTGACGCGATCTGGTTCCCGGAGCGGGTTCCTACAAGTAAAAATTGTCAGCTATTAAATCTGAGAAATGAGTAAGAGTCCAATTATACTAACTAACTGCCGTAATAGGGATTAGGTAGTTCTCTGAAATAGTATGTTAGGTATATTCAAGCTGGGATATCTGGGGGTGCTTGGAGTAGAAGCGATGATAAAACTGGCAACTTGTTCTTCTCCTATACGAGGCTAGTCCCATTTTAGGACTAGCCTCTTAAGGCCTTCCAGAAAGACGCACGGACCACACTCTAACTCCACAAAAAAAGCTAAAAACAAGGAAGACAAAACAATGTTGAACGAAGAAACTAACATGAATTTCAAGTGCATTAAGCCATATGTTACTGCGAAAGTTACCATCACCTGTTATGCGTATACCTCTAGAATACCTTCCTCCTTGACAACTAATTTGGCCCAACTGGAGTCGTTTAACCCCTGTGCCAGGCAGGCTTCAATATTCGTTCTGCTGTATACAAATCAAACGAACATTTTCTATGGCCTCTGAATTTTTCTTCATAACTGATGAGGTCTTGTAGCTACTCAATACCGAGAGTATACGAAGTTAACCATGTTCGATGTGGACTTACCCTCTTAATTTCGCTCCGATATGGCACTAATCTACTCAATCTGCAGAAGACAAAACGCAGAAATCCCTGATACTCTTGAATTACTGAGGTTAACATATATTCCAACCAGAATTCGAGCCCAGCATACTCTTTCTTTGTCCTCCTGGTAGCACAGGAGGACTTTTCTTCTCCTTTACATTTACTTGGCCAAGAGGCCTAGTTTTTGCTAAGCACCTCTTTCTATAATGCAACCGGAGATCTAAGCCTGTATACTTTCACATATCGCACCCGAAAGAAGGCACTTCAGGTGCTCTGCTCCACATTCCATGCGACGGTTTTCCCGGCTTTTATTGCTGCTGCGATTGTCCGACTAATCGCTTATCGCGGTGCGGGCCCCCGAACAGCCAGTTAACCATGCATCATGCATGCTACAATATGAAATGAAACTGAGGGGCCTGCGTTTGCTGCAATGTGGAGATAGCTGTTTTATTCCATCCGAAATAACAGCTCCCTACTTCTCTTAAAAGTGAGCATAATGTTGCATTAAACGTATGAGTTCCACATATTCCCTTGTAAGAGATATTTTGGGGGCGGTGTGCCGATTGAAAAACTCCCACTGATACCCTACTTCATGGTTAATATATAAATTAGAGGAGAGGAGTAGTGTAATTCTGTCTACTGAGTTTAGTTATCACTTGAATTCGTCTATTGTATGAGGTTATAGTTGTGGCTTTTTTTTTGTTTTTAAATTAATTCATGATGGGACCTTTCTTCTATTTTACTGCATATGTCTCTCTCCTCTTTGCTTTTACTCAGGCTCTACCCACCATCAATGGTGCAACCGCTGGTCTCTTCTCAATCGAGCAGAAGCAATATCGCTCTAATAGAGTAAACTGGCCACCCTACGAGTTATGGAGGACCCTCAGGAAACACCACAGACCGCCACCGCGCGGTATGACAGCAGTTTCCCGCATAAAAGCCTACGGAGAACACACGATCAACGGAACTGTTGAAGTCACACCCTCAGAGTATGATACGGAGTTTGTCAATGAAATTACAGTTGGAAATGATACCCTCTATGTTGACATTGACACTGGTTCCTCGGATTTGTAAGGTCTACTATCCACCAGAATCATCCCTCACATATTCTTTGGCTAACAAAGTTGAGGTTTCTATAGCTGGGTATTTTCGTCTCAACTCCCGGAGCAATCGCAACGAAATCATCGTATTTATCATCCAGAAGAAACAGGCACAAAATTACCAAAACATACTTGGGAATCAAAGTATGGCGATGGGACTGGAGCCGCAGGCAATGTGTTCCTCGACAAAGTTAACCTTGCTGGATTGAAAGTATCATCACAGGCAGTAGAAGCTGCAACATGGGTGAGCTATGAATTTGTCGATCAACAAACAACAGATGGGGTTATGGGGTTTGGATTTGACAATTTTAACCTGAGTAAGGCATCTATACCTCTTATCTTTCAAGACTAAAGCAGTTGCTAATATATATATCCGAAGTTGTACCTAAAAGGCAAAAGACTTGGTTTAGCAATATCAAGTCAAAACTAAACATGCCTGTTTTTACAGCCTGCCTGAAACATCAGGCTCCCGGATTCTATGACTTTGGTTTTATAGATGGCACGAAGCATGTGGGAAAGCCAACCTACCTCCCTATCGACAGTTTGAGAGGCTGGTGGGAAACCACATTTAACGGTTTTTCGGCTGGTGATATTGATAACTCTACATATCGTTTTAAAGCCGTAATTGGTATGTTGATATATCGACTGGAGAACGAACTCCGTTCTAACAATAGAGCAAGGTATTAACTTTGAACTCCCAGATACTGGAACCACATTCATGCTCCTCCCCAAACAAATAACCGAACAGTACTATTCCACTGTCCCCGCTTCGATGTATGATCGCAATAATGGAGGCTGGGCTTTTCCATGCAACACCACTCTCCCCAACTTCACTATTCATATCAACGATCATAAAGCCATTGTGCCAGGAGAGCATATCAGGTGGGCACAATTACCAGGGACTAACACATGCTTTGGTGGTCTTCAGCCTGTAAACAACCCGCCTGCTATCCTTGGGGGCACATTCTTAAAGAGTCAGTTTGTCATATTTGACTATGATGGCCCAAAGATTGGGTTTGCTGCTCAAAGGAATTAGAGTAATGTGTCGGGAGTAATGATTGTATAGAGGGAATCGAAAGTTGATTAGACATGTTCGTATACTTGCTGGCCCCTGGGAAAGGCTACTGGCTTAAGGGGACTAGTTAGTGCACGAGTATAGATTGCAATTTTAAATTTCACGCCTTCGTTTTGGATTAAACTTGGGTTTTCGCAACTCCCTCAAATATCAAACGCACTATTGAGGGACAAAGGAATGGCGAAAGAGAGAATTATGCCTAAACAGCCTTACTCGATCCACCTGAAAAGACTCATTGGCGAGATCCCTGGGGTACTTGGCTCGGCGTCAATACGTATCTCGGCTTCATATATAAAGCCGAATTACGATCAGAGAAATTTCGATATCGAAGCAACAAGGAAATAGGTTCAGCGGGTATTGTTGGGAAGTCGTCCGCTAGGAAGGGAAGCGGGTGATTTTAAATGCATGCCTCGCCCTTGTAATGTGCTCAACAAATTGCAAGTCTTCCACTATTATCAATGGCTGAGCGCCTTCCGCCAGTTTCCATTCAAATACTATGTAAGTATGGGTATACCTGGTGTCGTGTACGAGTCCAGGGCCTGTATCTGCAGGGATAATGCATCAACAGTTCACCTGGCCATTGGCCTGTAGGTATCTATTTTGTCCCATCTCGCAATACCTGCAAAATACTTGTAAACTGCAGAACTAGTAGAAGAAGAAACGAAGAATATGCAGTGTTGCAGGATGTTTCTTGTCTCTCTGGGAGACGAAGTGCGAAATTTCCCCTTTTGGAGATAGCCTGTGGTTTACGTAAGTTAAAGACGAATGATTTTAATGTTGTTATTCGATTCGAGGATAACAGACCAGCTCTACATAGATTTACAAGAAGGTAAGCAGTTAAGGATCCTTGAAGGGCAGTGCCTTGTTCGCCATCACAATAGCAACAGGAACAAGCCATGTAGCAGCTCATCAGAGCAGAAAAATATAACCCGGTTACCAAACATTACGAGCCAATCCACACAAACCCGTCTGCCGACCAAACCCCCTCGACAACAGTATAAAAGAGAAGACTAAAGGAGAAAGTAAGGAAGAGAGAAAATACCCTTGGAAAGTAACCCATTTTTTGTCAAAACGCCGGGACACTCTTGTACAACGAAGTGGTTCGAGCTCAAACAAACACCACAAGCTGAAAATGCAACAAACACCGAGAAAAAGAATATTCGTGTCGTAGAACACACAAAGCGTCATCCTCCAGTTGTCTAGAGAAAAAGGTATAGATATTTAAAAGGATGTTGTTGTGTCGTTTGTGCGGCTACCCTTCATATTATGGCTGAGTTTGCGTTTTTAAGACCTTGGATGGAAATTGCCATAGGTTCCTGTGCCTGGAGTTATGCTACCGGTTTGGCGGCCTGGTGTTTGATGGCTGTTCAACGCTGCATGTCCTGTGTTGGGAGTGCTAGGTGTTCCGGCGGTTGAGTACATGACTGTGCCGTTGGCACCTGGAGTCTGATGGGGTTGGTTTCCGGGGTAGAAGGGCACAGCGGCTATCTGGCCGTTGAGACCCCAGATCTGACCGGAATACTTGGACTCATCTATAGTTCCGTTGAACACAAGTTGTCTGATTTTCCAGAATATCTCACCGGTGACGAGGGAATCCGAGCCGGCTTGGTGTGCAATGCCGACTCGTTTGACGCCTAGCTCGTCTGCAATATCCTGTAGACCTGACTTTTGGCCGAGATTGGCAATGATCTGAGCTGCAGCATGGGTTAGCGGGGATCCGTTGGCTGTTTGATTCCGTCCGGCGTGTTTCATGAGGTATTTGATATCGTATAGAGAAGGGAAGAATATGTTAAGAAGTTTGTGGAAATCCTTCTCATCGTCAGGCAGGGGTTTGCACAGCATGATCTTCATCAAGTATCCAAAATCGTATCCGGAGTGGAAGGAGATCCAGTGGACGTCGTCAAGCAAGACCAATCCGGACGTCATGAGCAACGCTCCAAAGTCCAACGGGTCAATGCCATTCTTTTCATGAAGCGCAAAGTCGATGCCGGCTTTGGCCAGCATACTGGTAGACTCCTGTGCGTACATGTCGTTTTCGAGAGAGAACTTGAAGTTGAATTGCCAGGTACATGGCGCCGGTATCAGGGCTCCATTGTAGGCTTCCGAGTTCGCATGAGTGGCTGTGACTGGAGGGACCTCGCCGTCCTCGGAGAAGAGAGTGATCCCAAGCTGTATCATCTTGAGTAAGTCAACATTACACCTTAGGGTTTGGTAGTGGTAGTCTGCTTTTGTGGTAAAGGTGCCCATCGGTCTGGCCACAATTCCTGGGAATTCGGTGTCCTAAACGCTGTTAGTGTTCCTACTATACAGCCGAGCAACAAGTGACGCAGCCTACCATGCTGATGTAGGGGTATTTTTCTACCAATGACCGCAGCATGGCCATCTCCTGGGCAAGATTGTGCTTCCAGACATCACGTATCCTCGACTTGACAGCGCTATTCTTGCCATCCATGGTCAAACGGCCATCGTGGCCCAAGTGAACCTGCTGCACCTGGTGCTGCTGTAGCTGCTGCTGCGCCTGTTGCTGCTGTTGCTGCTGCTGCTGCATCTGAGCACCCCTTACGAACCCCATCTGTGCGGCATGGCTGGCAAGCCCGGTACCACTTCCGTCGCCCAGAACTCCCGCCCCAGCCCCGGTAGGGAAGCCAGCGACGCCAATACCATTGGCACCGGGTATACTGAAGGGATTGATGCTTGACTGAGGGTTACTAGGACCAAAGCCTGGGTGTCCGCCAAGGGAGGGAGGAGGGAGGCCAGAGTTGGACTGTGGGTGGCCGGTATGATGTTGCGACTGCTGCTGTTGTTGCTGCTGGAGATGTGCTTGTTGGAGGTGGGGGAATGGGCCTGTCATGCCCGAAGGCCCATAACGGTTGACCGGCGGCGGCATCGATGGCTACGAGGCGCGAGAAGTATCACAGCGTGAGGGGGGAGAGGAAGCCGAAAGGAGCATGAGGATGTGAGGGAGCACACCAACTGCACGTTTATCCCCTCGCCGTGTCGTGTCTCTGATCCTGCCGTCTCTCTTCTGCAGTATCTTCCTTGGCCTTCTTCGTCTGCCTCTGCCTCTGTTCCTGTTCCTGCTTCTCGTGGTATATTATCTCCTGTTGTCCTTGTCGTATTCTTGTATCTTCGTCCTTCGTTGTTCTTCATCGACGAACTTCAACTTGCCAAGACTTGTTACCGCTTCGGGTTAGAAGCTCCAAGACGACCCAACATCGAACAAGCAAAAAAACGAACCAAAGGAACCAAACTTGGACATCTCAGCAGGTGAAAACGCCAGCAAACCAGCTCAATTGATCAGTTACTACGTCTGTAGCTGCGAGAGAGCTCTACCTCTACGGCCAGTGGACGGCATACCCCCCCCCGGTTAACGGTCGAACCCCCTTCATCTACCGGTCTACCCCTCGCGCTTAATAGGATGGCGCCTCCAAATCCAACCGGCTTCGACATGAAGACCTTCAAGGCTGCGGCTTCACCTACGTCGGAATGGGCACTGAGAGATCCCTGGAAGCGAAAGTACGTTTGCTTTCTTACTTTTCCGGTGGTCCTGGCTTGATTTTAGGACGTTCAATTGATGCTAACACTGCATTAGCGAGGCATGGCGATACACAGGCCCGTTCTCCAGATGGAACAGATTTAAAACCGGCTTCCCAGGTCTCGGGATTGCAACTGTTGCCTTTGCCATATATTGCGGTTACGAGTACGCCTTCTTGAACGACAACCACCACGGCCACAAGGAAGAAGGTCACCATTGAGAGGTCCCTTTGCTGGACGAAGATGCATATAAATATCAATGCAGAAGAAAGGTCGATTAGAAGTGAAGACATCAGAACTATAGAGCTATCTGCCGGGAATTTCTACTTGGGACGGTGGCTGACATTCGGACTCCAAGAGTCGTTGTACATATTCTACTGAAAGGCGCAAATGGGAACAACTATTCTGTACTATTGACTCCTGCTTTTTTGGCCTGATGACCTACTTCTTTTCCATACTCATACCAAATCTATGCCCGTGTTTTATGCTAAAAATGATCAATGTCATCCAGGGGTCCGTTATGAGCTCCCTGTATATTCCAAGTTTACTCTTCAAATACAAGAGCTATCCCGTCATCACCAGCAGTGACTATCCGCCTACCTTCCCTATCACCCTGTACAAAGCCCAATACACCACCCGATTGCTCTCCATCTTCGTTTTCAGAAACACCCACATGGCCTCTCCATTCTTTCAATAGCCCATGGCCAGCGGCCACGGTGCCTCCACGGGTGTCCCACCGCCTTACCACGCCGTCCATGCCCACAGAGGTGAGCAGCCACGGTCTCCCTGACGATGTCCCGGCCGAGGAAGCATTGGTCTCGCAATGAACAAACTCAACCTTCACCACAGCTGATTCCTCGTGAGCTCCACGGATGTGTCGTCTAACGGCGAATCTATGTGCCACATCAAATAGGGCGATGGATCCATCCACAGACCCAGCGGCAAGAAGGTTCAAAGGAGGAGAGGAGAAGGAAAGTGACTCTATGCCGTCTGACTGCGCTTGGAGAGATGCAAGAAGTGTGCCGGCTCCGCCTCCGCTAGACGCACCAGCTCCTCCTTTGCCCTTGGATTTCGACTTTGCTGACGTATCAGACAGACGCGGTAGGCCAACCACCTTTATATGTCCTTCTGCACCACCGACAACAGCAAATGCACCCGTCGGTGATATGGCAACAGAATATAGTCCTCCCTCAACGGCGAACCTCTGGTCCTGGACAGTCAATGCGACGACCGATTGTGTACCTGCGGAAGAGGTCACTCCGGCAGCAGCCGCAGATCCAAAGACATCATAGACGTAGAAGCTTCCTTCTTCAGACACAGTAGCTAGCAGTTGTCCGTCTGGAGTCCAAGCGCCAGCCGTACAAGATGCTGTATGCTGGAAGTACGTGGACACAATGGTCAGTGGCTCTGCAGCGTCCTCACTCGCATCCACACGGTAAACCCATACACTGCCGTCGTTCGCACCAATCGCAATAATATTCCGAGTTTGTTCGTTATCGCCATTGCTGCTAGACGGACAAGTCGCGATCCAGTTGATCTCCTCCACTTCCTGAGACTCGGCCAGGAACTGCCATGACCTCCCCGTTAGATTCTCACTCGTATCTTTCCAGGCGCGTAGCTTCCCATCCAGGCCCGCGGTAATCACATACTCTCCCCTCGGAGCTGTGAAGCACACTGCGTTTACTGAGTCCTTGTGACCGTCCAAATGTGCAATCACCGGGAGCGATTCTCTCTCTTTGCTCGGTTGCGGCGTTGTCTCGTAGCTTTTGGGGAGCAACGGTTTCTCAGCAGCCGTCTGACTGGAGTCGAATATATATGCGGTATCATCCCCAGAGCCAGTAATTATGATCTCGGTATGAATTGGATGCTGTGCGATGCAGAATATCGAGTCCGTATGCTTATCGAAATGCGCGCAGGAGTCGTTCTCGAGCAGCAACTCTTCGTCCTCTTCTTCCATCGGATGGTCATCGTCGACCTGGACTATCTCTTCTGCGTCTGCATCATCTAGAAACTCTTCTTCCATGTGTTCCTCGTCCACGGGATCTTGTAGATGCCGGTCAGGCATTTTGTCGTTGATATTGATAGTAAGAAACCGGTGGAGGGGCAAAGGAGGGGCACTTTATAAAATATGTATTAGCGGATATCAAACGCGACAGCTTTTAAATAGTTCTAGAAGATGAATATACAGAATATCAAGAATGTTATTTATTATCTGTCTGGCTTCTAAATATTTATAATGTTGAAGAAACTGGTGGAAGTTTTTGTATTTCCAATTTTGATTATAAATAGTTACGCCATCAAGAAAAATTTGATAACTACCACTTCTATAACTTCGCCTTTCGTCGAGATTCCTTCTCGCGGTCTCTGAGCAGACGACGGAGGATTTTACCACTGGGACTCTTGGGAATGACATCGATGAACTCGACGCCACCCTTCAGCCACTTGTGTCGGGCCTTGTGCTCCTCCACGAACCTCTGGATCGACCGGGTGAGCGCAGCATCATCCTTGCCGGCAGCAGAAGCTCCCCGGACAATGAAGGCCTTGGGCAGTTCTCCAGCCTTCTCGTCGGGCACAGGGATGACGGCGCAGTCGGCGACGTCAGGATGGGAGAGGATGTGAGCCTCGAGCTCAGCGGGTGCGACTTGCAGTCCCTTGACCTTGATCAGCTCTTTTATACGGTCGACGACGAAGAGATGTTCGGTTCCCTTGGGAGAGACCCGGAATACAACTTCGTCTCCTGTGCGCATCCAGCCGTCCTGGAAGGTCTCCGCGGTTGCTTTCTGGTTGTTCAGGTAGCCCAGGACGATAGAAGGGGATCGCACGACCAGTTCTCCGGGCTGGTCGTAGCCTGTCAATTCAACGCCTTCAGGGGAGACCACCTTTGCTTCAAAGCCGGGAAGCAGACAGCCTGATGAGCCCAGCCAGGTATCCGAAATTTCAGTGGATGATACCACCGTGCAGGTTTCGGTGAGGCCTGTCAAGTGTTAGTCTAATATACCGTGGGACCGGGGGATATAGGGCCCTGGCCTACCGTATCCCTGCTTTATAGCCCATGTTGGCTTCCAGGCCTGAAGTTCTTCTGCAGTCTCCTTTCCTAAGGGTGCGGCTCCTGTGAAAATGGAGGATACACTGGAAATATCTACCTTATCACAAACGGCCTTATTTCGCAACATTGCAATGATGATCGGAGGAACAAGGTACAGAGTGTTGATTTTATATCTTTCGATGGCGGTCAGGTACTGTGCCATGTCGAACTTGGGGAGAATTATCAGAGAGTCACCACGGTAGGGGCCAGCATAGCACAGGACTACTAGTCCATAGATATGGCTCTGAGGCAGCAAACCTAGGCTAACGGTCGTGGCTGCCCCTCCGTTCTTGACTCGACCATCTCGTTCTGGTTGCTCCCTCAACTTTATTTGCATAGTGTTTGCAATCACATTTCTATGTGAGATCATTACTCCTTTCTAAACTTGGGGGTTAGCTCACGTTGAACGGGAATAGACAGGTATCCCATACCGGTAGGCCAGATGTCCCGCTTGAATAGCACAGGAAGGCAGTCTGTTTAGCACCCTGACCAGGAGCCCACTTGACCTTCTCCAGAGGTTCAAGGGAGTATCCTTCTGTGATAAACTGCTCCAGCGTCTTGAAGTCAGTCGGGATCTTTGCCGAACCGGTGAATTCACCGGGGAAATCGATGATATACACCCGGCTCTTTGGAATGCCAGCCTTCTCAGCTGCCTCCAATGCACTAGGCAAGGAGGGAACACAGGTAAACAGGGCCTGGCAGCGAGAATCTACAAGCTGATGGGCCAGCTCTGGAGCAGAGTAAGCCGCGTTTGCCGCGCTCACAATGCCAGATAGTTTATGTATAGCCCAGCATAGCACCAGATAGTCAATCTAGCGGCGCACAAAGCATGACGGAATCAGTTATCTTATAATCCTTTTTTATTTTATATGAATCAGGGGCAGAAACATACAGAGTTGAAGCTGTAGATGCCCACCACCTTATCCCATTCCGACCCTTGGTTTGGATGCCAGCCGAATTCCTTTGCCAGCGCGCGAGAGAGAACGTCGACCCGTTCAACAACCTGGGCTATAGAGTACGTTCTGCCCGTAAGGCCACAGACAAATGGATCTCTCGAGGAGGCAAACGGCATACGGCCATTCTTCTCATCCAGCATAAAATCGCATATTGGTATACTATCCGGTACCTGGGGAAGCTTCTTTGCACTTGCTGGCGGATAGAACACCATCTTGCCGGGTACTTGATACAGAAAAAGATATACTCTTTACCCTGTACTCTGCAGTTACAAACATAAACCGAAGAGAGGCGAAACCTCCTACTTATATATTTTATCGCCTTAGCTATCTTATCGACGTTCCCCCAGCCTCCCCCAGATAAAAAAAAGGGGCTTGGCCCGCCCAGCTCGCGCTCGAGCCGAGCCTTAACCGAGGCACCGGCGTCGCTTTTATGCATGTTTAACGGGGCCTTGACCAAGAGAGACACTACAACGACCATGGCATATTTAAGTCGTAGATGGAGGTGATGGACTTAATATAAGCGTCTGTACGGAGTATTCAAAGTGTTGACTTGGACTGCTGGGCCAGGCCTTGTTCAGCAGGTATATAACACAGAAAACCATAGAGTGCCGAACGGTATGTATAGTAAAACACTGGGAACGCCAAAGTCCAAGCTGCAATCCTTCAATGTCTAGTTGATTATCTGCTATGAGGGTGGTAGTTCGCAGCTACCAGAAATAATGTCTACTATCATGCTGCGTTCGGTAAACTCGCCGAGTTATATTGCAGTGGCTGCATAGCTCCCGGAGTTGCATCCGAGCTGCATAATAATATCTTCCTGGATTACGGCTCCATGAGTTTAGAACTTCTCTGTTGTCACAATACAACATTCGATCGATGTATCGGCCCCATGAATGAACGAGGAGTTGGATAAACTCTTGTCAAAGTTCTATTCTTTGGCCAAATAACTAGGCGGCAGAGAGACAAGTTATCTATTTTTGACGGGCCTCTTGGTTTGGCCCAGGCGATGCACACGGAGATTTATCTAGTGGTATAGGATTGTCAGCATACTAAGGCATCCTACCTGGCAAAGCTGCTAACTACTCGTCCCCGTCGTATCCGGACCCTGGGATCGGGTCGTATTCACCTTTCCAGTGCTCAGAAACTGGCACCTCGTCAGGCATCACGTATCGAGCAGTTAGAGCGAATCGAAGTCGGCCTGAGGGTATAACAGAGTGCTACATCAACAACATATACAAGTGAGCATCTAAACGAACGGAAAAGGGAGAGTTTACAGTAGCAGTTAGCGACATACCTCATAGTACTTCTGTAAATCAGGTCCGTGCATAACGGCCAAGTCACCATGATTGAGCGCCATCGTACAGAGGGGCGGCGCCTCTCTTCTTGGTGTGGGCAGAGCTTGTCGCGCAGTAAGATACTCTTCTGCGGTAATTTCGCTCGCGTGGAACTTCCGTGCAAGTTCGGCTCTTGCCTCTTCGTTAGCGCATCCTGGAAGAACCGGGTCGTGTTGCAGGTATATCTTCTCCTTGTCTCTTTTCCGGAAGCCGTTATAGTACTCGTCCTTCATCCGGACCAGCATGGTTGCCGGTGCTCCGAGCGAGAGTGTTGCGATGGTCGGTCCAAGGGATGATTCGCCATCGTCATGGTATCCGATCGACATGTCCTCAAAGTATCCAAGCGCAAGGAGCTCGTTAGGCGTCTGGAACTCTTCTTCCTTCACTGTTTGCTTCGTCGCCCATTTGAGACGTTCGAGAGCACTGATGATAACCTGTGGAGCCGTGTTGAATGGCCGAGAGTCTACGCTCACGATATACTTATAGGGCATCCCCTATTGATAGTAGGTTAGACCTAGGATGCATAAAAAAGGCGGTATGGGGTACTTACATAGTTAACGGCAAAGTGAGAAGTCAGGGTTCCAGCAACTATATACAAGATTATATAGTTAGCTTTGCTAATATAACAAAAACAATAAGTCAGGAGTAATGCTTTAATCTTTAAAGTATGTTTAACTTCCACTTGCCCTTGGTTTGTAAATATAGTAGGATAAAAGAGTAAAAGGTGGAAAGGGGAAAGGAGTACAAGAACAAACTTACCTATACAAGGAGAGATAGGGTATCTTCTAAGACCTAGGTCTTCCACCTGCAGTTTGTTGAAAAGATCATCAGGTCCGCGTGGCCGGCTGTTTATGGTTCGATTTGCCGCAAAATGGGTCACAACGCCAGCACCCGGGAGAACAAAGGTGTCTTTACGGTAGTTTTTCATGTATTGAATTGTTGGCATGGAGCTTGTATCCTTAGGGATAGTTGGTAGCCTATGTCCCGAGGCACCCATCTCCAAATCAGGCAACACAGATCGTAAAGAAACATGGTTCATTGGTGGGCTGTATCGGAATGTGCAGCCGGGTGTCGAGCATTCCCACCACCTCCAATGGATTCTGGCAATGCACGCTCTGCACTCCGGGCAGACGATTCCTTTCCACGCCATACGTGTGCCAGTGACGTCGGTATGGTCATTGGAAAAAGTCGAAAGGAGGTCAGGCACCAAACTGCAAGGAGGCTGGACAGAATTGGTTGGTTTTGACCTTTTTGTCAGAAATTCCTGGGCGAAAGTGAGCTGTGGCGCCGGCATTGACCCATTCATTTTCCAAAATTCGGTGCATAACGGGTTAAGGCACATCCAACCTTCTGCAAAGACCTGAGCTGTCCCCTTTGAGCATGAGATGCAGACCGGGTCTTGTGCTGGCGTCACGGACTCGCGCTCCTTCAGGGGAAGGGGGTCAGCTGAGCCCTTAGGTGACCACCAGCTTTTGGTTGTGAGGTCGAGCTTTTCGAAGCGTAACTGAGCACCTTTGAACTTTCCGACTTGCTCGAACCAGATATCCGTAATCCTGAAAAAGCCCAACACATTATAATTATATGGGACCTTTACGCGGCAATCGGTATTTTTACCCCCTATACCCTTTACGTTAGACTATGATATTGCATAAATGGGGAATAATGCTTTCAATCTCACCTAGTATGAGGCCGACAGGAATCTCAAACCTCATGGAATTTACGAGAGACCGAAGGATAGGACCATTGGGATCGTGGTCTTTGGTCATGACCAACTTGCCTTCCTTAGTCTTCTTGCATGAGCCGCCCCTGTACATGGGTTAGAGAACCTGCCTTATCTTGTTGAAGAGGGGAAGATAACGTACACTCTGGTGATGACAACCTCATCATCTATGTGTGATCGGTCGCCACAGTCTCCATCCATCAGCACGCCACGGCAGATGTTGTCAAGGTAATAGCAGCCTCCCTGTACTGAATGAAACCATGGAAGTGCATCTGCAAGCACAACTCGATCCTCAGCCCACGCTGGAGGTTCACCATGAGGCTCCTGCAGTTTGTTTTCGCGCACTGGAATGACGATTTCAGCCTGACTTGCTTGTGCCTCGCTGCCATCAGTCTCTGCGGAGGAACGGCTGCTGGACCCTGACTTAGCCCAGGACAACAAGGTATTTGCTGCATATATGTGTCAGTAGGTGTTCTATAATAAGAAGCAAAGTATCACAGGGCTGTGGTATCTCGTATTTAGGAAGATGGAGAGGTTTTCCTTTCATAAAGAAGGGGTAGCTTTTATATAACGACCAGATTCTGTCACACGTGATATCGCTTGTTTTTAAAAGCACTATAGAAAGAAAAAGAAGGTAAAGATTTGAAGTGAAATGAAGTTAGGAGAAGAGGCCATATCTGTAGCATGTATGAAGGACTTTCCTGGTTGAAGTCCCGAGATGCCGTCCCTCGAAGATGACCAGGATATGGGAGGGTTATATATAGGACGGAAAATATGGAAAGAGTAAGTAACGAAAAGGGACTATATGTGACGTACCCTGGGATGGATTCTTGGTCTTCTTAGTAGCCCTAGTTCTACGAGCAATCCCAGCCCGGCCGGTGACCTTCAGTACGCTGTTCTTATCTCCTGCCATGATGTACAGGCAATGCTCACGTTATGCCCAGCGGATAAGTACTGGATTTTGTCAATGGTATGAATATTATCCGGTAAAAAGGGGATATCCAGGACAATGAAGGTGGTTTTCTTTGTGAAGTCGAACGGTTATCTTGAGTAAAACTGGTCAGTAAAATGTAAAGATTCGACTGGTCATTTGCCCTTGGAGAACGAAAGAGGAGAAGAGAAAACAGCGGGGGAGGAAGAGGTTTATATAGAGACTCCGGGTCGATCCCTTCAAGTACATATTCACAGGGCACATCTCCATTTCTCTAGGGTCAAGGGAAAGAGGGCATAAGTGATGGTAGACCTGTCACCAGAGTTTGATGTGAAGGTCAGAACGCGGTGGGTAAAGACAGAAGTCACCAGACGAGTATAGCCAGCAGATCTGAAGTAGAGTAGCAGATATAGTGAAGCGCTGCAGGGTGTACTGGGTATATAGCGGCAGGGGTACATCGAGGGAGTACTGAGAAGCAAGGTAACCGGAGCAGACCGGAATAAAGCACGAGGTTCCGCATCGAGTGAATAAAAGGGGACATTATTATTCAGTTGCAACGTACCTGTTCTTTAAGTCAGCTCCTGATACATGGTTAAGGCGGTTCAAATATGGACTCACCGTTATAATAGTCTCCTTGACACTGTATGGCCGTAAAAATAATATAGCATATATCGATAATGCTCTGGCGTCTATTTAATCCTTCCAAGGCTAAATGCTGCCATATAAGAATATCCGTGGGCAAATCCTCTCCCAGAGACAATGAAAGGATGGGGTATATATATAAATATAGCGAGTAACCGCCTTCGGTGCCTGCATCGGCCGGCCATATTCCGTCATAGTTATACTGAACTCTGGCCTCAAAGCCGCCATGAACCGTTTAATAATGCAACCAGGGTCTTCCAGCCAATTAATATTTGAGGGCCTCGAGGGCCTTCCATGGAACTTTTTCTTATACCAAAAAGTCTACCATGGTGAATACGGAAGTGTTCGGCTGGTGTAATAGACTGTCGTAGACGTTTTGACTTTGCACCGCAATACCGTTATATATGTTGGAGAATATCAAATATCCGCAGAACATAAGGCGAAGAGAGGGTGGTGAAAGGGCAGGGCAAGGCATTTGCTGGCTTCTATCAGAGGCCAGCACGGCAAGTATCCCACTTGCCGGTGCGTTGGTAATAAACACCATATTGAACACCAAGGGGCTTTGCTTCTCGGCGAATAGAGGTTAAAGCAATATAGATACCATCGAGTAGACGGGTTAAAGCGATGAAGACATCACTCCCGTCAAGTCATGATGGATATAGTAAGATATTTGTCCTCTGTGTATATCTTCTGTAAGTATATGGGGAGAAGGGAGGAAGACGATGATAAGAAAGGAAGAAGAAGAGGAAGAGGAAGAAGGGAAAGCGAGGCTTCTTATATAGACGGCCTCTCAGGATCAATCACTTCATCCTGGCTATCCATACGGTGAACGAAGGGCCTGGATAGATAGAACTATATGAATGATGCCGTCTCATGTATTAACTGTAGGCAAGCAAAGCATCCACACAAAGACCGACAGTGAAACACCAGACGGTGAGCACAAGGAAGTGAAGACATAAGACGGATCCATGGATAGTTTCTCTTTGTAGGCAGTGAAGAGAAGAAGATCTGGCTGATATTTATTGATTCATGCAGAAACTCGGTCACTATCAGTGAAGACTTGAATTCGCCATCTCGTAGTCGTCTTTCCGTCGCTGTCAAGGTGATCTCACATCTCTTGCATATCCTGATCTTCTGCTCTCTATCAACGCCGTTAGTAGTGGTCAGGCTATGCGGATGAGATATCTCAACTGCCAGTACGACTAGTCACTCGATTATGTATCGTCTTCTCATCATCACGTATCACGTCTCGTCATCATATCTTCCTCTATCTTCCTCTATCTTCCTCTATCTTCATCATCTCTTCAACTTCATCTTCAACTTCACCAACTTCCTGCTGACTAAGCCGCTACATCGACAAAAACGACGAAAAGCGGCGAAACAACAAGAATCAACAGCAACAAAAAAATCAACCTCACGACGCTGTCGTCTCTTCTTTTCCTGGCTGAAGCAGCGATGGTGTCCCTGGCCGTGGCCGAACCTCGATAGCTCTCTCGCCCCCTAAAACAGAAACCTCCGCTCGTTACAAGTTGGGAAGAACCACCACTTTGCGCGCATAAACACATACAGCGAACCCCCCCGGTAGATAGACGTACAGGACTAACGCCCATGTCCTGGCCGCCGCCGTCTTGCTTCTCGAGATCGATCGGTGTGCGCGGGTGGACTGACTGAAGACGGACTCGAAGAAGAGGAAGAATAGTAAAGAGAGAGAGAAAAAAAGAATGTCGGACCAGGAAAACCGTCCTTCTCGCGCCTATTCACAGGTGTCGCATGGCCAGTCTCAGCCTCATGTCCACCACGGCCAGCAAGGAACTGCTACCCAAGCTCCCTCGCAGCCGCAGTACGCCTCCCAGTATCCCACCGGCCCTCACCTTGCCGGCCAGAAGCCGCACGCCCAGATGCAGCGGTCTCCCAGCTATCAGGCTGGCGACGACACCGGCTACTTCGACTCCCGCGCAGCCAGCAGTGGAGGATCGGGAGGAAGAGCATACCCATACCACGACGGTCGCGGAGGGAGTGTCCATGGATCGCATTCCAGCAACTTTGGCTCCAGGCACTCGCAGCACTCTACCGTTAGCCAGGCCTCTTCCCATGGCTCCTCCGCCATGTCTGGATACCAGCATCAGTACCAAGCCACAAACACCCCGTCCCCGGGGCTCCAACAGCAGCAGCAGCAGCAGCAGCAGGCGGCATACAACCCGCAGCAGTTCTCTCAGCCGCCTCCCACGCCGCAGCAGACGAGCTACAATCCACAGGTCTTCTCACAGTACTCCGGACAGCAGCATCACCCGCCGTTGCAGACCTACAACCCGGCCGCCTACCAGTCATCCCCCTCGGTGGGCTCCTTTCAGTCGTCTCCCGGTGTAAACTGGTCTGCAGGCACGCCAGTTCAGTCCGCATACCCTTCTACCTCTCCATCTTACTTCCCTCCGTCTCATGCCGTGCCCACCTCGCCCGGCCCCATGTCAGCCCGTCCACTAGATACCTACAGCGACTATTCACTCCCTTACAGTCAGACAAGTCACCACCATCCCACTTACCCGCCAATTGCGTCTCAAACCACTGCCGCTACACCGGTATCTGCCCATCCTTCGTCATATTCGTCCTTTAACTATCCTTCTTCACAGCCCGCAGTTTCATATGACACAGAGGCTACAAACGACCGTCTCAGGAGGTATTCTTCCGCAAAACCCCCGGCGCAATCCCCTGATTATCAATACATGCCCAATCCGCCTCCACATAGCTTGGCTTATCATGATTCGGCGTACATGCCTACCAAACAGGCCTCTTATCCGGGGAGCCCCCCCCCTCCCCCGCCTCCTGCACATCACAACTCCCAGTCATCACCTCGACGCACGGACACGCTCACCCGTCATCCCCAAGCTAGGCCGCTTCCGGGCCCGCCGCCCGAGAATGAAGGACGAAATGGTCGTGAGCAGGCAGAGCCAAGCTACGAAGATGTGATAAAAGAGGTAGAGGCTGCCGTAATGGAAGGAAGGCCAGATACCACCCGTCGACACAGTTCACGGGCGAGACGGCCTCTCCCACAGCAACCTCCCATCCACGAATCTGATGATGGGGCCTATCCGACTTCCGCCATATCACCGGGTGTACAGCTTCTACCCGACGAAGTACAGACACATACCAATGGAGGCAACATCAGTTCGACCGGAACGGGACAATACGTCAATTATAACGCTTATAGTGACGACAGTGATGCAGAAGTGGCTGCTGGCTTGGAGGCACTGCGACTGGCAGACGAGGAAGAAGCTGCCATGCGCGCAAGGCGCAATACTCATACATCCACCGCAAGCTCGTTCGGTTATCAACATCAAGAACCGCCGCCACTACCTCCAAGCCAGCACCATGCGGAGTCGAGCAGTGACAGTGACTTTGCTCTTCATGACATCGGACTCTATGGTGGAGGGTATAGTGCCGACGTGCACTATGGTGAGGATGCAAGAGTGGCATCTGCGGGCCAGCCAGACAGCAGAGGCGGTACCTCCAATCAATATGACTACCCCAGCATCGATCAGGACTCCATACACCCCTTTCCAGAGATCGAAGCTACCGCCAGAGTCGATACTGTCGGTACCGGTGGACTCTCTGAACCTTCGGCCCATCGCCGTATGAGCTTCGAGGATGGCGACGAAGCTGCTCTTAGAAGGCCTTCGTCGATAACCAGTTCCCTTAGCGATGTGCCGGGTGAAGGGGAGCCGCAAGACCTATTTTTCCATCCAGGAATGAGCTCGAGGCCGCTACCACCTCCTCCAGTACCAGCTGGGACTCAGAATCTACTTCCTCATCTCATGCCTGCAGGTACATACCGTTCCAACGAACATACCGGGCAGATACCCCTGGACCCCTACAACATGCCACCCTACCCAACCTCCCCCGACACATACTCTCATTCATACTCTACTTCCGCCGTGCCTCGCTCAACTTCCCTATCGGACCATACAACATCCCATAGAACTGCGGATGCCATCATCCGTTCAAAAACAGATGCAGACAAGGCGAAATCTAAACAGGCTGCCTACGACTCCTCCATGTCCACTCCATCAGTTACTCTCGATCTACCTGTTCTCCCTGCTGGTAAGCGGAAAAAGTTCCATCCCGGCAAATTATCCAGTGAACAGTTCCGTAAATGTTCCGAGCCCTGGGCGATCAGCGCCATTGTGGCATGGATAAAGGACCTGGCGGAAGATGAGGCGGATCTGAAGGAGCATTCGATCGTTGAGGCAATTGTTGCTTTGTTCACCCACAAAGTCCCAACCATGAACACTGCCGATGCCGAAACTCTTAGTGACAGGGTTGTCAAAAGCATGTTCGCCGCAGGGGCCTTGATCAAGGATGAGGAATGGGTGAAATTTGGTCCTGGAACATTATCTGGTGTCCTCTGGCAGATTACTGGTCAGGGATGTTATTCCTCCCGTCTGCATAACCAGGAGTATGATATTTTTGGAAGATGCTACTCGCACCACTGCATGAGGACGTTGAAGAAGATCAATCTGAAAATGGTGGAGGCGCAGAAAAAGGCAGAAGACTGGGCAACGTTTTATAAGGTTGGCAAGGAGGTCTTCTCAACCCATTCTAAAAAGGAGATTGACCGTCAAAACAACCTGCATGAAATTGTCACCACTGAAGACTCCTATATTGCACAGCTTGACGTCCTGCGAACTCTATATCGGGATACCCTTGCCACAGCCCAGCCGTCCGTCATCAGCCCCAAACGCCTTGATAGATTCCTTAGGGACGTGTTTGGAAAAGTTGATGCGGTAAAAAGAGTTAATGAAGAATATCTCCTTGCTCAGCTAAAATATAGACAAAAGGAGCAAGGCCCATTCATCATTGGTTTTAGTGACATTTTCCGAGAGTGGATTCGAAAGGCCAAGGCTGCGTATACTGAATATGCTGCAACATTCCCAAATGCCAATTATCTTGTGCGGCGAGAAGCTGAATCAAACATGCTGTTCCGCTCGTTTTTAAATCAGGCACGTGAGAACAGATTGTCAAACAGGCTAAGTTGGGATACATATTTGAAAGCTCCCATTACCCGTATCCAGCGGTATACACTGCTTTTAAACACCGTCTATAAGAATATGGAAAAAGATTCAGAAGAGAAGACAAACCTGCTACAGGCTATCGAAGAGATCAAGCTTGTGGCTTTGGACTGTGATAACAAAGTTGGAGAAATGACGAAGAAGATGGATCTTAAAGAACTAGGCGCAAAGCTGCAGCTAAGACCTGAAATGAAGTCCATCGTGGAACTCAACCTTGAGCATCTCGGACGTGAAATCATACATCAAGGCGACCTGCAGCGGCCAAGAACAAAGAGATTCAACTGGGTCGATATCCGTGCCATCCTCTTCGACCATTATCTTGTCTTAGCCAAGATTGTGATTCACAGAGATGCCGCGGGCGTAAAGCATGAAACATTCGATGTCTCTAAACTCCCTATTCCTATGGATCTACTGACACTAGTAAGCACGAATGACGACCCGGTCGTCAGGTCTGCTGTCAAGGGCATCGCTCCAGCTAACCCCCGAACTGGCGCCCCAGCCGGCCTTGCTCATGCTGCAACAGCCCCCCAGATAAGTTCCCCAGCCCCAGGTGCAGCCGGGAGATCAGTGACCACCACTGTCCTGGAAAACTCCAGGGATGAGAAAATCCTATACCCGTTTAGAATCAAACATCTAGGGAAAAGGGATGTTTACGTTCTTTACGCCCCGACTGCACAGTCACGACAAGAGTGGTGTGAGAAAATCTACGAAGCAAAGACCAAACACGCCGCTGCTCTTTATGCCCAGAATGCAGAACCATTCAGGCTTCGTGTACTTTCCGACTCGGCCTTTGCTTACTCTGACCAGGCCGTTCCTCCTAAGAGTGCTGTCATCAAGGGAACTCCTCTCGATAGGGCAATTAGAGAGGTAGAGAAAAGATATGAACGTAACTTATCTCGACCTTTGCCTGTTTGCAGGGCAGCCGTCAACTGCGCGTCTGTGTTTCAACAACCTCCAGGAAAAATGATGTGTGCTATCGGTACAGATTATGGCGTCTATATCTCCGCATATGATGATCCTAGGGGGTGGACAAAGGTTAGCTCTTCACTTTATGTTAAAGTTGGTATGTTTATATAAATCAGACGTCTAACCTGCCCGATAATCAAATATAGGGAATTTCAATGTTACGTGTCACACAAATCGCCATCTTTGAGGAATTTAATCTTTTCCTTTTGATTTCCGACAAGTCCTTGATCGGGTATCACTTAGATTCAATTTGCCCCGGCAACGGTGCTGTGCAGCCTGATTCACAGCGGCGGGCACCACAAAAATTGTCTGGTAACCGAGAAGTGGGCTTCTTTGCCGCAGGACGCATGAAGGACAGAGCATTGGTATTTTACAAGAAGAGAGACGGCATTTCCTCGACCTTTAAGGTACATATAGACCTATGATATGCTATTCTCAACCACTCGTACTAATCTTTATAACCCCCCAGGTTTTGGAGCCGGTTCTTCAGAAGTCATCGTCAAGTCGCTCTCGATTCCTGTCCCGACGAGGCCAAACTGAATTCTTCCGTGAATATGATGAATTTTATATCCCGGCAGAGAGCTATGGCATCAACCTGTTCCACACTTCCTTGGCTATCTCCACCTCTAGAGGCGTTGAAGTTCTAACTCTTGACAAAAAGCAGCCATGGTCTGTACCAAATCTGAAGTCAGAGCAGGCGGATGTCCAATCCCACCTCACCAGCATTGCAAACAGAGTGAAAGATCTCCGCCCTCTTGGAATGTTCCGCCTCAGCGACAGTGAATTCCTTGTTGCTTTCCAGGAGTGCGCAGTATATGTTAACAAACACGGTGACGTTAGTCGGAGTGTCGTCTTGGAATTCGTCGGCATCGCGCATGCAGCCTGCTTATGCGGGAAATTCCTTCTCCTATTTAACGAAGATTTCGTCGAGGTCCGAAATGCGATGAACGGCCGCCTTCGACAAGTCATAGCCGGAAGAAACGTGACGTTGTTGGATGACGGTGGCAATGGAGGCAGTGGGATCGACCATCATGCGAGCGCGGTAAGCGGCTCAAATTTCAATGACACGGCTTCCACTGCCACTGGTTCCGGACGTAACGGTCTCGGAATATCTACAGGATTTGGCACCGCTGCCCGCACCGTCAAGATCTGCATGCAACACCCTGAACGTGAGAGAAGCCAGATCGTACTGGAGCTATTGGAAAACGAAGGACAGAAAGATTAGTCGTCCTCCGTAATCTACCATTCTTCTAACCTTGAAATGCACTGCGGCCATGATTTTCATGCATTTCAACTATTTATTTCTCTTACTCTGGCCCATTCTGATATCCTACCCCCTTTTTTACTTTACAATTTCTTTGTCGATTTATTCGATTTTTGGGCTTTTTGTTGGCTATTCCATATATTCGTGTTTCAGCATTCCCAGTGACCAACTAACTGCCCTTGGATATGCTATTATATGACCCCACAATCACGACTTACGATCCTAGACTCTTGCTTTTGCCTTCGGGGGTTGGTTGGCTTGGTTGATTGCAAGGCTTATTTACTCATCAATTACGGATGATACTCATCAGCCTTATTAGCCCATTTGGTTTCTTGTCGAATTTTTATTTGTATTGGCTATGGATACTTCTTTTTTTTTTTTTAATATCCTGCCTCACCTCTGACTTATATTCTGTTTGATTCATCGATTCTAAAATATACTTTGTACTTGAATTTGAAGGCATTACTTCTTTCCTTCAGCTCTCACTAACTGGATGGCTTTTTCCTGTTACATATGTAATGATTTAGACCTTCAATGGAAGCTATTGATTATTTGGTTCTCATCATGGAACATTGACACCATAGATGCCGACCTCATCTTTCAACCATATTTCTCCTTGTGCTGTCAACCTTGACACAGTACGATAATCTCATAGGAATCATTCCATATCTTGACAACACAGCTTCTCGTCTTGAGTACAAGAGTCCGCTGAGCAACCAATTTAAAGGACATAGAGCATGAGGCCACTGATACATACCCGGCCAAAGAACCTAGATCAAGGGAGCAGATTATTGAGTGAAACATGAAATCAATAGTTTAAGGAAATGCAGTATGTAAAGGAGTATGAAAGTATATAACACAGTTTCTCTGGTAAATTATACAGCGCGCCAGCCACTCAGGAATCCTAACAATGTCATGTCGAAAGCTATCATCAATTAACTTATGCATATTTTCATTAATTCAAAAAGCACGGCTGGTTATGACTCGAACTCGACCTTATCAATGCTGCAATCTGAAGGCCTTCGTACAAGGGACCCCGGTGACGGGGAGAGCGTTGCTTTAGAGGTATTTGTAAAATTGCCTTCCCTCTGCTCTGGCCCTTCTCGCTCCCTTATACTGGCGACTTCTGCACCTTCTAGAAGATCACGATCTCCTTCATGAATAGATGGCGCACGAAGCTTGGAATTATCGTTATTTCTTCGTTCATAGTAAGCGGTATCTTCATCCTCGTCATCATCTTCTTCGTCTGCCCTGTTGCCAAGAGCATTACGTTCCATTTCCCGTTGGGCTTCTTCCATCTTCTTGCGAACCTCGGCAGCCATACGCATTCCGTCGGAGACGATGTTATCCAAAACTCCTCGGAGGCCCTTGTGGCCTGGAGGAACTATGCCACCGGAAGCACCGGCAAGAGTAGCTCCAGATGGAGCTGTAGACCCGCTAGAGGAGCGATTATAGCCAAGGTTGGTGAAGGTGGTGAGATTGGAAGAAAGGGACGTAGAGCGTGAGGCGGCAGCTTCAGGAGACGGGCGGTCTGAGAGGTGGAATGACTCAGGGAAATAGCTTTCAAAAAATTGCTCAAGTAATTCATCCGCGAGGATGACCATGCGAAAGGTGGGTAAGGTGATGTGTAAAGGGTGGGCAGGATCTAGAGCTGCGTTTGCTGCTTCGGACGCCTGCTTGGTAGTTGGAGAGAGGGGGGTAGTGGGAATATTTTCGCTTGTAGGTTCTAGTGGCTTTTCTTTTGAGTCTGATTCGGGAGTTGGATGATACTCTTCTTCCTCTTCATCGTCCTCATCGTCGCCTATGCTAAAGGCTCCAAGTTTGGACTCCACTTCTGTGTGTTGCTCTTGATTTTGTGGATGGCTGGGATCAGCATATTCAAAGCAATGTTGAATAAAGTCGCTGACACTGCTCAGAAACTTCTCATCAGCACTAAGCTTAGGTCTGGCTCTCAAGTCTCCTTCTTGGGTCGATGTTGACAGTCGATCGTTGTCTCCATTGGCTCTGACGTTGATAATGCCTTCGAACCCTCTCCTGGAGAGGAAAAGGAGAGCCTCGGACATGCGCAGTATACCCTCTCGATCTACCTGACCAGAGCCATCATCATCATATAAGTCAAAAAAATAGTTAATAGTGTTCATTATATCTCTGCCACCTTTTATTTTAGCCAAGCCATTGACAACATTCTGAAGACTGAGGCCGCCGTTACCGTCGACATCCCACTTACGGAACATTCGTCTTAAAAAGTCATGGTCTGCAGGGGCAGGGTATTTGGGTCTATCGCAAGATTTATTCCGACCTCTTACACTGGAGTTCCTATCAGAGGCGGAATCCTTGCGTGGAGGAGAATCGCTGGCTGCCCATTTAGCAGTAGCTGCAAGGAATTGTCTAAACCCGTCGTAATCCATAAGCGATGGACTGGGACCAAGGCCAACACGGCTTACTTGTTCTTCCGCCCTAGGGATGAGAGCAGAATACCGTGCGGCGTTTTTGATCCCAGAATTGTTGCGTCGTCTCTCTTCTTCTTGGGCTTTTATCTTTTGTTGACGGTCATACAGTACTTCATAGAAGCGGTCGTACGTTGTGCCTAGGTCGTCAACGCTGAGTTTCTTACTCTCCGGTCCGAGGTTTCGAATCGAAGTCCTCTTAGCGAAATTTTCGATGTTGTGCAATACGGCATCCTTGTGTTGAGCTCGTTCCTCCACAATGGTACTGTGGGTTATCCCCGAGAACTCCTTAAAAGCCACAACCATGAGCTCCTGGAAGCGAGTAATGGCACGTAATTTTGGGTTGTCTGAACGAGGATGAGCGGACTCGTCAAGACTTGAAAAGTAAGACTTGAGAATAGAGATGAACGTTCCGTCATCTGTGACGTCGAGTAATTCCTCTCCGTTGATTCGAAGAATTGCCAAACCGACTTGAAAGAGCACTTTAGGCCCCTCAAGGAAGAAGACGTCGAGAACCCGAAATGCGAATACAAGGGGCATGGAGTTGATGTAGAGTGAAAGGAACCATGGAAGGGAGACGACAGATAGCTGGACGTCAGATTTGACCAGATGGTCCCATAAAATGGGCATTGTCTTCTCGACAAGGGATTCGAACACCTTTTGATCCAGCAATGTTCCGTACATGGTCGTGGAATAGTAGCCGGGTAATAATCGATCACACAGCACTGATAATAAGAAAAATGCCTGCGCTTCGGATGTGTATCTAACATGTGGTCAGTATAAGCTGTAAAGAGGGAGCAGATAGCACTCATACATTAACAAGGCAGCCACGACGATATTCATTGCTTGACAGTACCCAATCTCTTCGTTTATCCAGCTATACGCTGTCAAAACCCTCCTTAACCTCCCGATTCCTTCTTCACTCTGAAATCCGGGGTACTCTGGTAGACTGCGGTTTAGGTCCTTTTCAATCTCATCGATGGCAAGAGACTCGCGGCCAGAGAACTTGGCCAGAGTCTCCTCGTAGAGATTTGGAGCTCGTAGACGTGAGTAGAACGATCCAGAACAGATTTCCCATATTTCTCCACGTAGACGGTTGGGGAGTCCGACTCGGATGAGTTTATGAAATGTAGGCTGCCTTATCAATGTGGCATTGCGCCCATTTTCTTTTAACCTAGAATGTCAGCAACGTAATACAATACCTGGGAGTTGTTCCCCCTTTTTTTTTTTTTTGGATTATTCGACACCTAGTAGGGCCATACCTCTCATATATTCTCCCCATAACCGCATCTTGCTCCGGTCCCTCAACTTCCTGGCATCGCCGGGATATCTAAACACCAGGCCCAGACCTGTGTCGGGCGGTTCCCTTGTTGTTTCTACCTCCACGCCCTCCTTCTTCACCGTCCGAGAGCCAGACAGCATGTATTCAGAGTGGCACCCAGCAACTACCTGCCGAAGACCCTCAACATCCTTCATCCCGTCCCTAAGGCCTCGCTTTAAACCATCACAAAACCGCTCACACGCCTGGCGCGAACCGTCCAGGTGGATTGTAAACTTCTGCACCATCGTAGATGTATCCTTTGACGGCGTCGATTTGCCCAGAGCTCCGTTCCAAGTGGTAATCGAAAGAGAGAAGACGTGGCCATGGCTATTCAGCCTCTCGACTCGACGTATCGAACAGAGGGGTAATGTGAACCCGTTCCCTGACGGACCTGTCCCGTGCGTTTGCCCGGTAAAGGAGGATGAAGCTCCAAAGCTCGACGACTGCAGGAAGCTCGTAGGCTGTGTCGAGAAGCATATGAATCGTTCGCTGAGATGCAGGTTGCCTATGTACCGGTTGCCAGAACGGCCAGCGTCCTTGGCTCGTTCGCCATGAGTAGAGCTCGACGAGGAGTAGGGCAGTGGCAGGACAAGCTCTGCAGATATCTCCTGCAACGGGTTCTGAGAGTCTGGGAGCCGGAACTGCTGGCGAAACAGTGAAGCCTTGGAGGGATTTCGATCAGAGGTGGCCGGAGCAGGGAAACCGAAGTTCGACGGGTCTACCAACGACTGAGCCTTTTGTACAAGCGAGGAGATTTGAAACATAGCTATAGAAGCAGTCTAGCAACTGGCATTTGGAGCTGGTTCCTGTCAATAAAGGGTCCCCAAGGGGAGGATGTTTGCTGCTATGCAAAAGAGTGTTGGTTGCTCCTCTTTTGACTATTGAATACCTCGGGGTGACCCCAGGGGAAAAAGGGGGCAAGGCTAAGTATATAGTCAAAGGGCTCGACGGCGCATCAAACGACTTTATGTAAAACACATTCTTCCGGTAGCAGGACAGTCAAAGCCAAGTCTATACAGAGCGAATGGATCTTGTACCTCATTCTTGATACCAAGCTGGGAATCCCGCTCAAGGATCAGTCGGCACAACAATCTTCCACGCCCGGCTGGCCTTGCTGCGGCTGAGACGGAGCAGCAAAAGGTGGGCTGGGGAGTAATACAAGGGGGCGTACAGAGGAGCCTGGCATGGCTTTTTACGCAGTCCGGAGTTGTACGAAGGGGAAGATGGACAAAGAATAGATGTAATAGTTCGATTTAAGAGACAGTGCCTCTGCTAAATGAAATGGACCCTGGGGAGAGAAAAAAACAAGAAATAAAACAGTTGAGAGAGAGACAGAGAGGGAGAGTAATGAAATAAAAGGAAATGCCAGGACAAGTAAAAAGGAAATACTATCTGTTGTAGCCATGCGATCCCACTCCGAGAACTGAATAAAACTGAGAAAAGAAATGGAAAAGAAAGACATCTTATGCCTTGTCTGCAGGCAACTTGATATGACCGTGTAGTTGATCCTCTTCTTGAGGTGCAAGGTCGGCATCCTCTCGGGCCATCAGGCCTTCCTTCTCGCTGGCTTCTCCGTCTTCTTGAGCAGAGTCGAGGGTGCGGCGGTGAGCGTTACGTTGGCTGCGGCTGTATCTCCACAAAGCAACCAGGCAGTGACCCACAAGTGATCCGATGGAGCAGACAACCAGGCTGAGACACAATCCGATGATCGCTGGGATGATCACGAAGCGAAGTGCGCGGGCAAAGGAGCGGGAGAAGGTGGGGTTTTGGTATCTGTGATGGCCATGTCCGTGTTCCATGCTGTTTCCTTGCGGCTTTCCGTGGCAGCCTCTCCATGAAGATGAAACTTTCTCGGCAAATTGTGCGGCGCGGACCTTTGCAGCGTGTAGAGTAGCGACAATTCTAGCCACCAGTAGACGTTTCCAGCACTGAGCATCGCGGCCGCATTGTTTCCATGAGATCTGTGGGGCCGCGGTGGCTTCGACTCGTGAGTTGACGATGACAAGGTTGCCTTTGGTGGTTTTGATGACGGGAATGTAGAGTGTGTCCGCTGCGGCCGGAAGACCGTCAAGCTGGACGGGAGTAAAGTAGAATGTGAGAAGTTCAGGGCCGTCTTCTTCGGTGGAAGCCTCAGGGGCTCGAAGAATTTCTAGGATGTAACCGGTGGCGACTTGTCGACTGAGGTGCTCATCTGATTTGCGAACAAGGCTAGTCTGTAGATTGACAGATTCATCAGGAGAAGGGTAGATTTCCTTTTTGTTGACATATAGTTTGCCTGCATCTGTCGCCAGGTCGAAGAGCTACGTGTTTTAATCGTTAGCCTACGTATAAAGTGGAAAAAGGGGGTGAGTTTAAAACCAACCATATAGCTATCGACGTCAGACTTCCAGGTGGCTGCAGTGTCTGAATCTTCTGGGAACGGGCATTTTGAACAGGTTGTCGCTATGCTGAACTTGCGGGCATCGGCGGTCTCGATGGAATGAGGGCTGTCGACCCCGGGAACGATAAGGAAAGCGGCTGCGCCTTGCAGCGCCAGAAGAGATGTCGCGACGAGTTTCGTCAACATGATGGGCGATAAACAGGTTTCCAAGGGGAGTCAAGCTTCTGTTAGCTAGATAGAAAAGAGAAGAAGAAGAAGAAAGTCAAGATAGAGAAAAAAACGAGCGTCGAGAAGTTCGAAGTTGAAAGTCGAAAACATTCAACAAGCAAAAAAAAGCGAGACAAATTCCGAAAGTGGCCAAAAGCGGCGGAGATGACGTAACGCCGCGTGTTGCTGAGTAAAACATCACGTGATATATCAACATCAAGTCAGAGAAAAAGGAGGAAAAAGGAGAAGATGAAGCAAAAAGCCGACAAAGGAAGAGCATAAAAGGGTCAGAAGAACAATGTCAAAGGACAGGGAAAGCCAGAGACCTCGGGCAAACACCTGGAAATGCAGAAAGATGCCATGTTAACACCCAAACATGGCACAAAACCGCAACTCCATCACCCATATCATCCAAAGAGAAACCACCAGAGTAGAGAGAAGAGAGAGGTATCAGGAGCCATGAGGGTATCATGGGCCGTCGACCCAATCCCGAAGGAGGGTGCAACGCCCTACAGAAGATCCACCTGGCCTAGATACCAGGAAACACCTCAGTTATCTCAATTTTCCACCGACAACCCCAAGCCTTTTTCACAAGGCGGGCACTTCGGCAGACCAACTTCCACCACTACCTATCGACCCCCGGGGGCAGGACAGAACGCAGGCTTTTAGGGATCATAGCCGGAAGAGACGTCAGTGGTTGAAAAAAAACCAACCAACGCCGCAACCGGCTCCTCCACTCACCCAGGAACAACCCGATCAAAGTGCTGTATGATCGAGTAGCTAAGCTTCTCGGTCATGAGCGACCAGGGAAAGACATACTGGGATCGAATGCTAGCGACAGAGGTACGAGACGTGTCGTTGGCAACTTCCCAAGCATATCTCTCACCACGGCTGCTCCACAGAACGAAGACCGCCCAGGTAAGCACGAGCAGGGCGAGGAACAGCCTACGCCACCAGGCTCCGCTTCCAGGGACTTCGGCCAACATGCCTGTCTGCACAAGGGCGTCCTTTGTTTCCACCGTCTGATGGACGCCAGCAACTCTCGCTTCCGCCTCGACGAGTGATAGAACATCACCGGTCAAGGCCGTTTGGGTGGAAGCCTCGCTCGTTGAGACATCCACGGCGACAGTCTGAGTCGAGGCCGAAACGACCTCCGTGGAGACTGTCTGTGTAGATGTCTCAACTTGAGAGACAGCCACTTCTTCGGTCTGTGTGGAAGTCTCAATGACTTCCACCTCGTCCGTCTGGGTAGACATAGAGACGGTGTTGCCATCACCGTACAGAGAAGCACTGGATGCTGGAGGGGATGGCTGACTGCTGCTGCATTCGTGTCCACCATCCTGTTCGTCCGACAGAGCACGGTTGTCCTGTCCGACCCCCCACCCTCCCAACTCCATGCTCAACGTAACGGGGGTTGGATTGCCACTCTCCACAGGCTGGCAGCAGATGTGAGCTGCACGCTCAGCCTCCAGGTCATTGCGGACCTGGTTCGCAGGGTCGAGCTGGCCCCTAACTTCGGAAAGTTGGGACCGGAGAAGCTCGTTTTCGCTCTGCAACGGGCTTTTGGCAATCTCCTCCGCCAACGTCTTGCGTTCTGAGTCGGCAAGGGTGAATTTGGCCCGGAGGCCACTGAGCTCGCCAGACAGCTTCTCCACCTCGCCTTGGAGAGAAACTATCTGTTTCTGTTGGGAGGCCGCCTCTGTAGCGTGAGCTACAGTTTTTGTGGCGGCCTTTTCGAGCAAACCGTCGTTTGCAGCAAGATCGTCTTTGAGGCGGGAGATTTCCACCTCAGCAGAGTCAAGATGACTCTCCTTTTTAACGATCTCCTTGCGGAGACCGGCCACGGAATGGCGCATGCTTTCGATCTGCTGCTCCAACTGCTCGCGTTGCAGCTGCTCAGCCGAGAGCCTCTCAGCGTACTCTTCGGCTTGCGCTTTAGCCCGGTCAAAGTCGTCGCGGAAGGCGTCACGTTCCGCTTTGATGGACATGGCCGAGTTGTGCTTCTCCGTCACAACTCGGTCCATGGTAACGACTATCTCTTTGAGACAGTTGACCTTTGCATCTACCGAATGGCAGGGGCTTTCAACGTAGGCATTGAACTTGTCAACGTCCAACCTGTCTCCAGCGTACAGGTAAATGTCTTGGATTGCTCCAGACACGTTGATTCTGTCCTGATACCCTTCCCAACCGGATGCGAGACGGGGCATGGCTGCCCCGGACCTCCGGGCACGAGAATCACCCATCATGTTCGGTGACCAGCCGAGCTGAACGGGTGCGTTCTGTGCAGTAACCGCAAAACCACCGATTGGCCCAGTGGCGGGTCTCTGCACAGCCATGCTTCTTTCCGCGACCCCCGTGGTCGCGGCGCCTCCAGCCTGTGCTGGAGGACCGAAGCGAGTTTGCACAACGGGACGCTGTTGGTTGACTGGCGTCCCGATGACCTTGCGGTCATTGCCAGTGGTCTCGTTGACTCTGGGAACATTGGCGACGGGCTTGGGCTTGGTGGTGGATGGTGTTGCCGAGCTGCCCTTCGAAGCACCTGGGTGTTGAGGTGCTTGTTGTCCGTTCCCTCTGACTCCACCCTGTTGTTGATTTGGCTGCTGAACAGGGGGTTGAGTCAACGCTGGCTGTGCAAGTTTTGAGTCTGCTGCTTTTCTAGCTGCGCCGGTGGATGATGGCGTCTTTGGTGGTGCACTGGCTGTGGCTGCTGGCTTGCTGGTTTTCTTGTCGGCACCACCAGCAGCAGACTCTTTGTTTGGGCCGTTTCCCTTTGCTGGACTTGGCTGGGAGGTACTTTGGCTGGGGGCGGGGGCAATGGCTGGTGAAGCCTCGTTGTCTTTCTTGCCCCCTCTTCCACGACCTCCTCGTCGGCGTCTCTTTCTGGCAATCTCGGTGTTGGCGTCGTTGTCGTTGACGCTGGCCGGAGGAGGAGTGGAAGTTTGTTTGGCCTGTTGGCTCATAACAGGCGGCGGACGACGGCTGTCCGAAGGGCCTTCACCTACTGCCACGCTGACGGCGGGTTTCGGTGGATTGGTGCTGAGAGCTTTGCCCGACGAACCCTTCTGAGAAGGTTTGTGACCACCGTCCGCCCGGTCAAGTCTCTGGGGGGGAGTCGAAGTTTGCGTGGTATCTTTTTGTTTGCCCTTCGACTCCTGCTTCCCTGCAGTGGGTTTGTTGTCTGTCGGAGCTGGTGCTTGTCTTTTGGGCCCCGACATGGCTGCAGGTACTGCCGCCTTGATGATTTGGCTGCAAGACGGCCCCCCTTTGTTCGCCAGCAGGTTTTCCCAGGTGTCCTGGTACTGGTCTACTGACGTCGCCCACTTCGATTTTTGCAAATCGGCTTGACCTTGGGCTTTTTGTTCCGGAGTCAGATTCGGAACGGCAACATTCGCATCCCCGATGATGTCAGGGCGTCTGCCTGTGGACAGTTGAGGTCTCTGTCCGGCACTCATTTTGGCGTCCTTTTGTTGTGGAGCCATTTTCCCTTTCTCAAGTGGTGAATTGACGGTGGGACTTGAGGAATTGACGGTTAAGGGTAGAACCAGCCTTTGACGTGACTGTTCTGGAAATGAAGCGAGGCTGAGCAAAGATCGAGCTCTACAGCTGCGATTGAACTGACGAAAATTGAGGACTGCGAGCAAGAAGACCCCCTTTGTAAGGAGAAAAGGGGCTTATGCTCAAGCGGCGAATGAAGTTTTTGGCGAGGTTGGATGTCTCGAACGGGACGAGGCCGTGAGACTGGAGAAGAACGTCGACGTCTAGGTTAATTTCTTCGGAATGGTGATGGTATTGGCTGATTCACGAAGAGGTTTGGCGGTGGATCAAGCCTAGAAACGAAGACGGGAGAGCTGTTTCTTCGTTGTCGATGTCAAGATGTTGACTCGACAAACGAGTCTTTGGCAGGTAACGAAGGAAACAGAAGAAGAAGAAGATGGTGAACAGGTTCAAGCGAGATATCTGGCTGGTTAGATGGTTTGTGAGAAGTATTCGCGAACACTGTGATGAAAACGATCTTGATCGAACGGTGAGAAGGAGAAGAGAGGAAGAAGAAGAAGAAGAAAAAGGGGGGCAGGAAATTTTTATATTGGAAGAAAAAATTTTCACCAACACGCGGGGAAACCAAGGGCAACCAGATCACTAACTCTCACTTGATCCAGATTTCATGTCCTGCTGGCATCAAACGGCGCCAGCGAGCCTTTCTAGCGTGATACCAGGCTGATACGGCTGTGTTGCTCTGGCTGTCCTTTGAAATATAAGGTAACGTACCTGTATCAAAGTCCCGAGTCCTGTGAGTGCTCGACCATAGACAATCTTGAAGACCAACGTCTTTATCTTTTGTATCATGCCATATCATATATATACCCTATATCAAGACTCTCTGATAGCCCTCCTCGTCCTCGACCTCGAGAGCGAATACCAGGGAGGCTTTCCCCTTATATCTTATGTTCCGTCTCAACTCTCTTCGTCTACCGGTTCTTTTGTTCCCTCTGGACCTTCAATGCCTCTTATATGAACCCGTCTATCTGCCATTGTTCTACATATAGAGAGTCCAAAGTCGACTCCTTGTTCTCCTTTATTATACCCTGACGTTGAAAATGCCGTTTTGGGACAAGTCACGTGCTATCATATAGAATATCAAAGATGGAAAGTTGAAGCATATAAAAGTGAAGAATTTCTGGCTGTCCGTACAGCAGCTGTAACGCAGTAGTTTGATCCAAGGGCAAGCTGGTACAGCTAGTAACGCTGTTTGATTAAAACAGGACGTCGTCTGATCTGGACGCTGTAAGATATCAAAAGACAGTGGGGCCTTTTGACATGTTGCTCTAGAGACCGAGAATGAGAACACCAGATCAATCTTACAAGAAGCTTCAAGATCAAACGGAAAGGACGTTTGATGAGGTACCAGCGGGCGTAATTTTACAAGGCTCTCTAGGCGGGTACTTTTTCAGAAAAGAGGCTGGTTGCCTGGACAGGATGAACCGTGTATGCAACGGCAAGGTCAATACCAGAAAAGAACGCTATTATATATCGACAGCATACTATGATAACATGTAAAGAGTAAAATAACAGAGCCTAGCAAGATCAAAGCTTAGCTTTCTTCTGCCCTGAAACGCCTGTGACTTCCATCCCCGACAGGAGAAAGTCGGGATAAGAGAAGCCACTTCCTGATATTCCTGCCGCTTGTAAACGCCATGCTCCTCCATCGACTATCGAGCGGCCAGTCAGTACATGTAGCTAGTATAGGGCAGAAGGCAGTGTGATACGTACCGACAACAGTCGAGGCATTGACAAAGTTGCCAGAGTCCGAAAAGATGTATATAGTTGCATCAGCAATCTCTTTGACGGAGCCATAGCGGCCCAGCGGGACAGCAGCTTCGGTGCTTTTCTTTGCATCACCCCTGGCCAGTCGTAGCATGCCCTGGAATCATCAGCATACCCTCGCAGCCATTGAGACAGTGTAAGTTGGAGAGCAAACCTCTGTTTCGCCAATTGGACCAGGGCTGATGACATTGGATGTCACTCCCACAGGACCGAATTCAATAGCCACGCTGTTTGACAGAGCGTCCACACCCGCCTTTGCAACAGACACATGTGTCTGCATAGGCAGGCCAGTATAGTGGATAGTTGCACTGACGAAGATAATCCTTCCACCGGTTCCGGTTGGTGATGCTTATATACATAAGTCAGCCGCCCATCTTTGCGATACCACAGCGTCCTGTTGTCATATAAAACTCACGAGATGCTCCGTCAGACTTGTGTTTCGCGGCAGATCGAACCAAATGGGGTATAGTTGCCTTTAGTGTGTTGTATGACCCCAGAACATCGATATCCATCACCGACTTAAAGGCGTTGACAGAAAGCTGATTGATCGAGGCCAGGAAGTTCCCTGCCGCTCCCGCACTGTGGGATCGGCGGATTAGAAAGGACAATGCACAGTCAAAGAGGACGGAGAAGAATACATGACAAAATCGACAGCCCCAAGCTCCTCCACGCATCGATCCACGGCCTTTCTGACGCTGTCGAAGCTGCGTACATCCACCGAGCCGATACCGAGCACCTTGGACCCTGTGCGGGCCGTGGCAATGTCCTTGGCCATCGTCTCTGTTTTTTCGACATTACGCCCGACGATACATGCATTGGCACCTAGGTAGACGAGAGCACGAACCTGAGCACTGCATATCGTGCCTGCACCGCCAGTGCAGAAGACGACCTTGTTATCTAAACGGAGGAGGCTTCAGATTCGATTCTTTTGGCTACACCACGATTCCTCCTAACAACATACCGAATATGCCGTCTTTCCAGACGTCACTTATATAAGAAGACTTTGGCATCGGCATCTTGAGCAGACTGGTCTGTTACCGTTTCGAGGCCGTCTACTGTGAAATCTGGGGTAAGCTGGTGTTGGATGAATCTACAACAAGCAAAGAAAAGCACATTGAGTTACTGTCAAATATATAACCAGTATCCGCCGCCAATCAGCGCGGGCTCCTTTGACAGTTAGTTACGTACATAGTAGCAGCCGTGCCAGCGCCAAGCTATGCGAGCCTCGGTTCGTTTTTTGTGGCTCGGCGGGTTTTAGCAAAGATATTTGGACGGCGAGTTGCATCTCCATAGCCAATTGCCCAAGGAACACTCTTCCTACTCGGTGAATTACTCCGGTGGCCATAGCGAATGGAAGGTTTGTCCTCTCTATTCGACGTAGGCAGTGGACTAGTCAATACATAACCGAAACACCCAGTGTATCAGCCAAAGGACTAGGTCGTCTAGAGACGCCTTACCAGCCGCTCACATGGTGGAGCTGCCGCTTTTGTTCCTCACAGCATCTTTGTTAGCTGCGGTTACAGGAATATTAAGTGCAATTAGAAGCACTCAATACAGCTTGGGTGTTGGCCAATTATATCAACGCATTTAGCGCAAACACCCGTTATGCTTACATAATTATTGTGTCATCTTTCGCGGTTTTTCCGAGTTCGGCAACCAAAACTGCGAGCTCCAAAAGACCCCCAACGGCAGCCAGCAGAGCTTGCAAATCCGCCAGATACCCTCGACCTTTGTGACCGGGACACCGATACAGGGTGTCCTAACAGGGTCACTGAAAGCTTGCCCTGGTTTACACCCTTTCCCAAAGCTTTACATAGCTCCGACGAACGTCATGGCCTGCCCTATCACAATCGCCAAATTTGTTGGCATGATCTCGATTGGCATATCAACCGTATGTATCTATTTACCTTTTTTCTTCATAGTAGAGCTCGATCGGCTGATGAATTCCGAATCGCAGGGTCTCTCGTACTCAGTCTCATCCATTACTCTGCCTGCTCTTCAAGGGCTTCCCACTGCTTCCGTTGCCGCCCAGGCCCTGACAGATATCCAGTATCGGGCTCGCAGGACTGCCTTGACCCTTTCGCACATCACTGTGATCACGCTTCTCACGGCATTCAGCCTCTCGTCCCCTCGTCGACGACACCCTTACCTCCTCTGGACCACCGCATTCTCCCTCCTCGGCGGCCTCGGATTGGAGCTATATACCAACCATCCTGCCTTCATCCAAGGCACCGAAAGCGCCCGCACCAGCACTTGCGGCTCCTATCTATCTTCAATATGCGGCGGCTCTAGACCTGGCGAAGCTCGCCCATCCTGTTGCTGTGTGGGGTCTTTCCTGAACCGCCTATTTGGATCTGCACCTAAGCCAGCTATCCCCGAAAAGAAGGCTGAAGACGAAGAGTCGCTCGCGACATCGAGTGAAATTGAGCTTGTCGAACCCCCATCTGAGGCAGAGTCCGTAGGAACTGCTCGTTCAGCTGAAAAGCCGTCACCCGCAAGCTCGATAGCAGACATCAACGGCGAGGTTGTAGAAGCCTCGATGAAGATGGAACGCAACTTACATAAGCTAAGGACCTATATCCTTGGTATCGGCTTTTCCATGGGTGTGATTGGCATCTGGGGCGAGCGAACGAAATAGTTGCCACCCATCCCATTTTCTTTCATATTCTTTTTTATAAAAACAAAATCTCGACTTACAATAATCTGTTAGTGAATTTAGACATCGGCAGAATATCTCCCTATTCTAACTGTCTTTTATTCGGCTGTATATATAACATTTTCCCCCATAACGATCTTCTCACATCTTGTTTCAATGTATTGGTGGTGTTTGGTTGACCTGATATCCTGCTGTTTCCCCACCCTCTTTCTCAGGCAGTGGGCTTTTCTCGTCTGCTCCCGCTCGCTATGTACGATATTTCCTCCAAAAACTTGGCTGATCTCATTTATTACAAGCTGTTTTCGTCTTATTCGTTGTTCTTCGCCTTCAGGAGACGGAAAAGTGATGCTCACGTGATCATGTAAAAACAAACTCCGAGTTTTATGCTTGAAGCGACTAAGAAAGCTTTTTGTTAGATTCTCGAAGGTGAAGAAGAAGAAGAAAAAACAACTTTCGAAGGATTATCGACAAATCGCACAGTTAAAAAAGAGTCGAGGGTCTTGCAGCACGATTACAGCAACCGGGCCATGCGCGTCGTCTGAGAGGCTTCTGTTTTACCCCTTTTACACTTGCCAGAGTCGCGACAAAGTACAACGATGGATTATGCGATCTTGAAGGTCGCCGACCTAAAAGCTGAGCTGAAGAAGCGAGGCATCCCGCAAACAGGACTGAGAGTGAAGCAGAATTTCATCGACCGGCTTATCCAAGATGACAATGAGCGCGCAAGCGCACAGGCTGAGCAGCCAGCTGAGCCAGCAAATGCACCCAAGCCAGACATGGCTCCCCAAGTGACAGCTCCGGTATACCAATCCACGCCGGTTCAAGCTCCAGAAGCTCCGTTACCCCGTGAATCACCATCGATACCGATGGAACAGGTTCCTGTGGCCCCCGCAGCTCCTATACACCAAGTTACGACGACCCACGTACAACATGTCACCGTTCCTGAGGCCGCCCCTACGCCCGCTCCCGTCCAAAAGGTCACCAGTATTTCACAGCTACTCGAGCCTGTCTCGGCCCCCCCCGTTGCCCAGGCACCAGTACCAACACCTCAACCTGCGGTAGCGGAAGCTGAACCCGCTCCGGTTGCAGAATTGGCCGTGGAGGACATTGCTCCCGCGCAACCCGAACCCCAACCCGAACCGGAACAGGAACCCATTCAAGATGAAAGTGCAACGAAAACTTCACCCACCGATGCCGACATCACAAAAGAAGATACGGACGAGTCGAGGAAACGGAAACGACGCAGCCAGACTCCACCACCGTCGCCCAGAAGCATCGCACTGAAGAAAGCAAAACTCGAGGAGGAACAGCAGCAATCTCGACCCGTACCAGAACAAGCCACAGCTGATGAACAAAATAAAGAGCAGGAGGAAACGTCAGCCGCTGCACCAGTAACTGTCGAGCCACCCGCTCAAGATACAGATGTGGAGATGAAAGAGAGCACCCCTCCTGCACCCGAGCCTAAACGAGATATCGAAGAGGTTGAGGATAAGACACAGGCACAAAACGAAGCAGATGATCAAGAGGAGCTTTCAGAGAGAAATGAGAAACCACATGCGCAGAGGAAATTGGTTGCAGATGCGCGGTTCAAGGGTTTGTTCCCTGCCACGAACGGGGTTCCTTCGCGCGCGGAGTCGCCACCTCCAGCAGAAGGTGATGACCGCATGATATCACCTGCCTTACACCCAGCAACCACTGCTTTATACATTCGTAACTTCATGCGCCCCTTACAACCTGCGGCATTAAAGCGACACCTATGCTCTCTCGCCGTACCACCAAATTCATCCCCAAACCCTGATGTTGTGGTCGAATTCTTTTTGGATTCCATAAAAACCCACTGTTACGCCAGCTTTACAAGCATTGCCGCTGCTTCTCGGGTTCGGGCCGCCTTGCATGACGCCATCTGGCCGGAAGAACGTACTCGCAAACCACTATGGGCAGATTTTATCCCTGAAGAGAAAATAAAGGAATGGATAGGAATTGAGCAGGCCCCTGGGAATAGCGGACGGGGCGCTCCCCGCTGGGAGGTCGTCTATGACGAAACTGAAGACGGAATAAAAGCAAGACTCCAAGAGGCGTCGTCTATAAACAGCGGGCCACCTCGTCCTTATGACAGCAGCCACAGCGACTCACATACGGGTTTCGGACGAGAACCGCCCACGGGCCCTCGGGCAGACAGAATGGGCCCTGGCGGGCAACAGGGAAGCCAGCAAATTGGCCAATCTTCTAGCAAAATGCCAGAACACGGTTTCAAGGCTCTGGACGACAGATTCCTCTCTACCACCACAAAACCGAAACTCTACTATCTACCTGTATCCCGCGAGGTGTCAGATAAACGCCTAGATCGGTTTGACGACCTGGCAAAAGCCGGTCCGGTATCTAAACGAGGCGGCAACGACATGTTCCGATATACATTCGAGAATACCGATGAGTTTGTCGTTCAGGGGCCAGAATATGGCTCTCGCCGCGGTGGCAGGGGAAGGGGGGGCGGTGGGCGCAGCGGACGTGGCGGACGCAGTGATTGGGGAGGCGGCTGGAGAGAAAGCAGCTGGAGAGGAAGAAGATGAAGCATTCCTTATTTTCTCTTTCTTTTCTTTCTTCTTTTTCTATCAGTTTCATTCTTTGCATACGGGTTTTCTTATCGCTTTCTTTCTCTGCTTTGCGCATGCTTGTGGACGGCATTTGTTTCAAGGTGGGAATGCAACCATTGAAGGATTCATCTTCCAACCGGTCTCATAACTCTTCTTCTTTCCTATTGGACTTTCTAACCGTGGGCTTTAAACGGTGTTTATATTAGGGGCGGTTACAGGGGATAAAATACAATATTTTCACAAAGGAGGATAAGCAAATATACTGTGCTGATATAAATGACCTTAAAAAGAATGGGGCCGGCTTTGCTAGATCTATCCGGGTCTATTCTTGGTGTAATTGATACAGCAGATGGGGAAGAGAATCTTGTTGCTGTTGTAATTCGATGCATTCATTACATATCAAATGCTATCATTCATTTGTATCATGTCTAACGTCATCATTATGGAGGAGACTCTAATACCCTATCGGCCTTATAGTCGCATTATCACATGGATAAGCCTTTTTTTGTATTCCCAACCGCCATATAACTCCCTAGCCATGGAACAAATCGGCGCCCATACGGGCAGACAGTTGAGAACCCTGACCAGAGTTGCGAGCCGTTGTGTCAGCTATTAAAAATTTCTTGCCTAGTTCTCGCATCTGTTGAATATTCTGACCCATAGCCCCCAGAAGGGCGGCGAGGAGAACGTCGTTTGCCTGGGCTAGAGACTCTACGGAGAAAGCATTCGAGTTCTGAGGGTTCAGCAGAGCTAGGTGAGATATGACGCAGTAGATGCTACGAAGGAGGGGGTGAGAGAGTGTTGGTTTAAGAGGGGATTGTGATGTCATGGGTGTATCAGTGCTAGGCTCTGCAATCGACTGGAGGTAGCATTTTATGAGGTGGATGCGGGACTGGAGGGTTTTGACAGCACTGAGGCGTGTAGTAAGATTCGCAATCACTATAATAATACTATTAATGGCTTTTTCATAATATATAATGCGACAATAACACTTACAGTCCTCGTCTTCAGGGGAAAGAACGTGAATTTCGGTAGACTCCGATAGCTTTTGTCTTTTATCTTGGGTTTGGGGCTCTGTCTTTTGCTGTTGTTTATCCGGGATTGCTGTTGCGTTGCCGCCTCCAGTCGCTATTGAATCAACACTAATCATTTCTGCCTCTCCGGTCTCGACTGAATACGGCACAGGTCTAAATTTCAACATTAAATTTTGCTGCTGGTTGTCTCCTTGCATCGGCCGGTCACCATCATCAGCATTGTCTCCTTCATAGACTGATTCGTATACGGTAACGGGAAGTTTCCCAACTGTCGAAGACGTGTTCTCAACATCAGAAGAATGGAATGCAAGAAGTATGGCAGCTTCGTTATAATCCCGGAGTATCTGCTCATGAATGGAAACCTGAGAGGGCAGAGGTCCAGAAGGAGGTGTGACGGTGAACCAGCCAACCAGGTCTAACGCCGGAGATTTATGGACATCCTTAACTGTTTGTAGAGTAAGTGAAAACTGCCCTTGTATCTAGCATGGTATATCAGCTTAGGGAAGCTTACATTGCTGTAACCGCTCGTTAAAGAATGCCTGGTGTAAGAGCACTTCTCCGCCGGATGTTGTTACCAGGTTGCAGTCAAACACATGCTCTAGCGTAATAGATCTGCCATGCTGTTGTCCAAGTATCGCACCTACTATCAGGCCCTTTTGCTGTCTAACTGTATGCCGTGTGATGTGATCAGAGATATTGAGGAGGACGAGGGGATGTAGCAGGGCGTGGAGGCTGGAGTGTGAGGACTTGGATGAGACGAGAGTATTAGACGTCTCTGCCATGATGTACCGATATTTCCACTATGTCAGTATTGAGACGGCACCACCAGGAGGGCGTTCAACAAGGCTGTTCTTGAAGCTCGTCTTGTATATTACTTTGGATACTTTTGTTGTTGCTTGAAGCTCGATAAGAAAAGCCATCGAGGCTTGGCGTTTGGCTTGTTTGCCTTTTGTGGGGGTTTTTGAACTTATCGACTTTAACGCCTTGCAAAGGTACAAGCAAACAAGACAGATACCAATAACTGGAGAAGACGCCATGAGCAGGCCGACATCCTTTGACCAAGTGACGAGGAATCTGGAGCAAGCCCTTGCAGACCCGTCTACCGCTCTTAATGTTCACCTCATCGACAAGCTAGGAGCCGAGGTGGTGGCTCAAACAGACCATAATCTCTCAAAGGCGCTGATTACCTTGATATCCCGCGTGCTGCCAGTGCTGCAGGAGGATCCAAGCCCTGTAACAGCTCTAGCTAGGAAAGTAGCGAGGTTCCTAAGCTTTGCAGAGCTTCAATCAATCGATCCCCCAATCGACTTCGTTGCTGGAATCAGGGCTGGTATTCCCCCGATCAACAGCCTCACACTTTGCCTCATTGCAAAAGCAAGCGAATCTCCAAGCCATGTCGCCGAAGTTGCTGGAAATTCAAGCCTGGTTAGGTCAATTGTAGAATTATGGCTATCGACGGATGATTCCGGAGTATCGCAGGCTGCCTTCGACGTTCTCTGGTCCTTGCTAGAGGCAGACCATTTAGTTTCAAATTCTACAGAAGGCAGGTCGAATAATGGACCGCAGCATAGTGGGCCTATGTGGCGTAGATTATTTCAGAATACTTCATCCTCAGAACGCTCGATATGTTCTCTCCGGACGGTGGGACAGAACGGACAGATTAGTGCCCGACAAAGACAATTGCTCAGGGGAGGCTGATGGAATTTGTTGTCAAGGTCGGATCACTCAGTTGGAGCGCTATATCGACGTCGCACTTCCCAGATATTGAATCATCCGTGCAAAGTGATAGCTTGTTGAGCTTTGTGGCCATTAGGATGGTTGACACCAGTGACCTACTTCTCCATATGACCCTCTTGCAATTTCTCCGCCAGATGCTTGAAATAGGTGCTCCAGGCTTGCGTCCTTGCAATAGCAAGTCGTCCAGTCTAATTCCCGCATTTTCATCCCCTTCTTTAGAATTTCTTATCACCAATGGCCTACACCGGAAGGTTATCAATTGCTACTTGGATCCCACTACACTTGATTCCGCTACTGGAAACTTTCTTGCTTCCCCTGTAAAGGCATATGTTTCGGCCTACGCAGCCCTCTACCCAAACCATATGCTACAAGAGCACCAGGCACAACGAGATCGGCTGTGCTCTCGTATACTTGAGGCATTCAAAATTCCATCAGCTCAGTGGGCTCACGGCCCCGTGCCTATTGGAGACCTTGACATATTGGCGTCACTTCCTCGGGTAATGCTGGTTGAATCTGGAAAAAGAGGTCTTAACCCGTTACTCTCTGTTCCTTCTAAACCCTTACATATTGAGACCCTGATATGCTTGGGTAAAGTATTCCATGGTCCGGCGTCTTTCGAAGATGCAATGGATATAGACCAGACAGTTAACAGAGGCCCGGACCCTACCAGTACACGTGCTGAGGCAGCAGCTGCAAGGGTTCTTTATTTCCAATACTTGAACAGTCATCCTGATTTTTGGTCTAATATTATCGAGGCTGCTGAAATAATAGCAATGCAAGATACCGCAATAGCATCGATAAATCTCATCAAGAACGTGGTAACAGCAAACTGGGCTGTTCTCTCCTCGGCCGATGAGGCAAGCACTCTAACTTCTAGTCGGTTTGTTCTACCGACAGAGAGTGTAGTCAGCCAACTTGGTCCCTCTTCACAGGGAAGTCTCCCTGTCAGCGGAGCATGGGCATTACTTGTTCCCCCCGCCTTGACTGTTGTTTTACCATACCTTTTCAAGCAACCACCGTCTTACGCAAATTTCGTTGCCGGAGGAGCTGGAGACACTGAGAGCGCTGTCTGGCGGATTGCAACTACAAAATATGACGCCCTTGTGGCCCTCCAGTCTGCTGTCCAGAGGATGGAGAGCACTGCAGGCGGACTTGACGATATCAAACGAACGTTAAAGCGGAGAGTAGCAGAAGGGCCCATGGGTGCTCCAAACCAAATTGGAAGCAGAATTGAGGCCCTTGAGCTTTGAGCTAGTTGCATCCTTATCTCTATCACTTTAACACTCTTCTTCTAGCTTTGTATATGTACATATTTAGTCCCAAACTTCATGTCATTATAGATTTGACTTGATCCTCCCTTCCCAGGCTTCTCTTAGTTTATATACCTTGCTCAATAGTTTTATAAAATACTAACCAAATACCATTTTCTCTATACGGAAGTACCTCTTGGTGAAATCTATCACGTGACTATCAAAATTGTCAACTTGAAGCTTGCCAAAAATTATACAACTTCAACAGCACTGTCCCCTCCAACTTGAACAGCTCAAACCCGTTGCGTGGCTCAACGATGTCTCGAGCTGCACGTAACAAAAAGGCACCGGGAGCTGAGTTCGCATGGAAGTCAGAAGGCGGCGGCGAAGTAGATACATCGCCAACACCACTATTTCCTGTAATTACTAGCTCTCTTATCTGATCGTGCAAGCCAGTATACGCATACTAACCTCGCTCAATTGCCTTGACAGAAATATACCTTACCTGTTCCTGCTAAGTTTACTGAATCAGAGGTATCAGGAGTACAGCTATATCGTCAATTACGAGAGAAAATCCACGATGGACCCTTTTATACCGTCCTTTCCACGCAACCGTCGTATGGGAAGAAGGGTGTGTCGGCTCGCGCACAATTTGACCCATTCCAGGGAATGGCATCATATGGACAGAGATATATGAGAAAATCGAGGACGTTACCAAAACTAAGTGCTATACCATTTGGTAATACCCAGCTGTCTTGCCGATAAAAGAGAGAAATTATCTAATGAGCCATGACTTTGTAATAGAAATGAACTTTTTTCCAAAGGAACTATGGTCAACTCTGGACCCAAAATACGTTGGTTTACCAGGAGCATTTGCAAATGGCGCCGGATCATTTTCTAAAGCTACACAGAAACGGGGATTCGAGGAAGATGAAGAGGAGGATGAGGAGGATGAAAGCCGCCGGAAGAAACGGAACCAAGGCGATGAAGATGATGATGGCTCTGACTTAGGAGGTAAACGACGGGGAAATGCGCGTGAGGGCGAGGAGGCGCCAGATGATGATGACGACGAGGGCGAGGATGAGATAGTGGATGACGATTTCGAAGAAGATGAAGAAGAGATGGGCGGTGATTATAATGCAGAACAGTACTTTGACGGTGGTGAGGAACTTGGTGACGGGTTCGATGAAGGAGGCGGTGGAGAAGATAACGATGTTTATTGATATATGTCTCTTTTCATTTCTTTTTGCTTCTTCTGATATGATACCCTTTTTTATGATTTAACGGACCAAAAGCAAGGAAGGGACAAAAATAGACGTTGCATATATCTATATTCTGCTCAGCTCTAAACGCAGCGCAAAATTTTAAATTAGGTGCATATATCCCCAATCAATATCCCTCGTTCTCACTATCCTCGAAGACGTAACTGACAGGAAAGCTATCCTGATTTTCAGGCCCTGGCAACCGGCTTTCTCTCGCCATGTTAGAATACGTAACCAGCCACTTGTTACTAAGGGATTCACCCAAGGTTCTGTATTCGACCATCCCCTGGTATAAAACTGCTGCCGGAGACAGTACCGCACGGTATAGCGGCACATCATCAGCCGCACGCAAATTGCCACCATAAATTAGCCGGTCAGCATCTTTCAGGAGCGACCGATATTCCTTGACCCTCTCCATTATGTTATTTATCCTCAACTTGTCCATGGGTGAGAGTGCAATATAGCTAGGAGGTTCCATCTGCAGTCCCATGGAGTAGGGCAACTGGGCTTGTATTTCTATTGGCGCTGCTATCAATCCCTCTGGGTCAATAAGCGCCTGAACCTCAAATCTTTCATTGACAAGCACGTTGTGAGCACCCAGACTGGTAATCGTCATGCCAAAGGGGCCCAAGTGATTAGACCAGCGAGCAATCAATGTGTTAAAAAGGGCAGGAAGAAGAACCGTGGTATCCTGTGAACTTGCCTGCGTTCTCCTTGCGGCATCCTGAATAATTTCTCCAGTTATGTATTTGTAGTAGTCAATATCAGAGCCAAAGGTAAGGCCTGAAGATGAGGCGCTGATCTCAAAAGACTTTCCATCAGCAGCAGGACGTGGGCGGCCAATTCGATCAAATTTCTTGGTTGCGAGCGTCACCTGAATCATGGCAAGTTCCTTTCTAAAGTTCAGGTCTTGTAACTGTGATCCCAAGACGTAAGAGTTGGGCCCCTTGGCCTTGCGAAGTGTGTGCGCGGTAGTGCCATGAATATACTCCATCAGGATGTATGGGGCACCTACTAGGTTGTTGAGGGAGGCATCGCAATAATAGGTCTCTGGGACAGGAATGTTCGTTTCCTTCCTATACATCTTGTCAGAAATCAGTTGCAGTAATCATAGGGGGAAGAAAATCGTGTATACCTAAGATAGTTCAAAGATTCAAAGCATGCAATAACATTACCATCTTCGTTTCCTACGCAAGGTACCGGTAACCGGAGTCGAACCACCCAGCGCTTGCCATTCCGGAATTTGATCTGGCGAACGAAGTTAGAACGGCCCAGTGTGTATTTATCAGAGATGGTGCATGGCTCGCCGCCGCTGAGATTGTAGCATTTTTCAATCACTGCTCCCCAGTTGATATGTTGGATGAAGTCGAGTATTCTGTAGTGTTCCGGAGAGTATGGCTCGATGGCACCCATATTGCGCCAGGCATCGTATCCGATACTAGGAGCCTCCGTAGTACTGGTCATCTTTGTATAGATGGGTTTAACGGCTGAAACGAAGGAGAGCCAGCGCCGAATTTTCTGTATTAAATCGATGATAGTGTTCGGAACGGGCAGCCTGGAATGAAACGGCGCGATGAAGGCCGAGGAATAGTATTCCTCGAGAGCCAGAGGGTATTTATAGTGAATCTCATCTTCACAAATATCATTCAGTGCCAGCCAAGGTGGAATCATCAGCCCGGATATAGTAATCGTCATGTCGGTGGAACAACTCTGGGTATAATGCTATATAAAGAAACATCCTTGGATTGTTGGTGAGAGTACGTTGGTTTCTCTCCCTATAAAGGCATAGTTCCTGGCATGTTCCTTCAAAGTTGCTTTTCTGAGGGAGCCTCTGGTGGAAGATGGCGGCTTTTTATATTCATCAAGGGGGAATAAGGTGGAAGACAAAAAAGGACGTTTAAACTAGCGTTTTGTTGTGATGTCATGACTTTTTCTTAGTGGGAAGAGAAGAAGAAGAAAAGAGTATTTGTTCCCTGAGAACTTTTGCACATCATGAGCCGTAAAAGATAAAAGAACTCCTTAAACCCTTTTAATGGCGTGCATGAAGAAAGATAGCACTCTTCGAACAGCTTTGATCGCCTACGGCTCAGAGACAGGGAACTCGCAAGATGTAGCAGAGGAGATAGGCCGTCTGATGGAGCGGTTGCGCTTCAACACAAGAGTAGCTGAGCTCGATGCCCTTCAGTCGGTAAGCGACTCTCCCTGATGGCGTAGCGGGTGAAGCTAACAATTGCCTTGGTAGAAAGACTTATATGACTACCAGTTTACTGTCTTCGTTGTACCAACTACAGGACAGGGCGATTTCCCCGCCAATGGGCGCAAGTTCTGGAGGTCACTGCTGCTAAAGAGACTCCCTCCCACATTCTTACAAGGGATCAGTTTTGTTCTCTTTGGGCTTGGGGACAGTTCATATCCAAAGTATGACTCCCTTTGTCATTTTGCGCTGAGAGAAGCATGGAGTTCTAATGGGGGGAAATGTCAGGTTTAACTGGGCATCACGGAAGCTCTATAGACGGCTACTGCAACTTGGTGCAGACGAGCTGTACCCACGCGGAGAAGCAGATGAGCAACATCCAGAAGGGTACGTGGCTCACTAATTGCCCGGAATGTACCCTTAGCTAACAGATTGCTCAAAAAAATTCTAAGACTTGAGGGAACATTTCTACCCTGGTCTCTGGACCTGCGCAAACATCTCCTAGATAAGTTCCCTCTGGAAGAAGGACAGCACCCAATCCCAGACGACGTTCGCCTACCACCTAAATGGATTCTTGACCGCCATGAGCGGAGGGATGAAGAGGATATCGTCCAACAGACTAGAGTACCCAACGCAAAACTACTATCCAGAACTCATGAGTTCCGCCCTTTAGATCATGATACCCGGCCACTTCCTGGCTCTATTCCAGCGACTCTTGTAGCGAATACTCGGATGACACCGCCAGACCACTGGCAAGACGTTCGACATTTAGTATTAACCGCCTCTGAGCCAATATCATATGCGCCGGGCGACATACTGCATATTACTCCCAGAAACTTCCCCCAGGATGTAGATAGGCTTATAGCACTGATGGGGTGGGAAGAACATGCCGACATACCTCTACAGTTTGTCACCGGGGACGGCTCCCCTCCATGCACCTCGATCTCTGCACCATCCATTCCATTCTTACTCTGCTCGCCAGGGTTTACTCTCCGCGCGCTTCTTACAGACTATCTAGATATCATGGCCATCCCAAGACGGTCGTTTTTCAGCCAAGTTGCCCATTTTACAAACGATGAAATGCATAAAGAGCGTCTTTTAGAGTTTACGAACCCAGAGTACATTGATGAGTTTTACGATTATACCACCCGTCCGAGACGGAGTATACTGGAGGTCTTGACCGAGTTTGATACCGTCAAAATTCCATGGCAGCTGGCCTGCACCGTCTTTCCGGTCCTTCGGGGGAGACAGTTCAGTCTGGCGAGCGGCGGAAAGCTGAAGACATTGCCGGACGGTGGTACACGATTCGAGCTGCTGGTGGCTATAGTGAAGTATCAGACGGTGATAAAAAGAATACGCCAGGGAGTCTGCACACGGTATCTGGCAGCCTTGCAGCCCGGCAGCACGCTGAAAGTCCAAGTGCAGAAAGGAGGTCTCCAGTCGTCCACGAAACAGCTCTCCGACCCTTCCGTTCTCATTGGCCCTGGGACAGGCGTTGCTCCGATCCGCTCATTGCTATGGGAAAAAGCAGCGGTGGCAGAGGAGTTCAGGAAGCTACACGGTCCAGGTGGGCCACTACCTCTGGGGCCGGTGATACTGCTATACGGTGGCCGTAACCGGTCAGCAGATTACTTCTTCGAAGCCGAGTGGGAAGAACTAAAGTCCCAGCTCAGCCTCACCGTCATCACTGCCTTTTCGCGGGACCAAAAGAAGAAGTTCTATGTCCAGGACGCGTTGCGGGAGAAGTCTTCGGACTTTTACGATCTGCTGCACGAGAAGGGGGGGTCCGTGTTCGTGTGCGGCTCGTCTGGCAGGATGCCCCAGGCCGTCCGCGAAGCCTTGATAGAGACGTTTCAGGCTCCGCTGGGTGATTCTGCTGAGAGCAGACAGACGGCAGAGAGGTACCTCATAGATATGGAAAAGACCGGACGGTATAGACAGGAGACATGGTAGCTATCTAGCATTATTCATATAGAATAGCAGCCAGCCTTGGATATCATCAACCACTCCTTACTCTGTAATATGTAATACTTCGATCTTCGATATGTGGAAGTTTAGTGCCGAACTTCGGCCGCGCCGCCCGACAAAAGCCAAGGGAAGAGCCGGAAAAATCTTGGGGGGAGAAAAAAAAAAGG